AACAAAAAGCAGTTCGTGACAATGGAATATCATATACCTATTATTTATGTAGAGAAGTGAATAAAAAAGGTAGAGAAAAAACATTTACAATGCTCTTTAGATACGAGCGCTGATTAAGTAACATACCAATGACGTTATGTAACATTTCTGACGGGTTGTGTTATCTCCCGTACGGTCGAGCTAATTTGTGTTTTGTAACAGCAACATTATCATTAAGTATTACGACTACTTTGGTTATTTTTTTTTATTTTTACAATAAAAATTGTATTCTCTGTAGGATAACATTATCTTTTGTTGTAAGGGCGTTTTAAATACATGATATTTCACGTGGGCCCGACATCCAGACAGTTATCTGTGCGATCCGTTGCGCAAATATTTGTCTCCCGGCGCTGAAGCCAATACCATGGCAACTGTGCATCAGTTACTGCAATCTCATGCTCAAGAAGAGAGCCTATTCCTACCTTAAAGGCCGGCAACGCAATTGCGACTCAACCGATGTTGCAAATGTCCATGGGCGGCGGTGATCACTTACCATCATGATCGCGGCCCGCATGATTGTTTGCCTCCTTTTCCCATAAAAAAAATCTATTTAATTTATACGCGGTGACACTATTTTGGAGGAAACCATAAGATGATGTTATTTTCTTAACATGTTAGATATGGTGCAATCAAAAATTCTTGTTTAATTGGCCAATACTTTAGTTTAATTGGTCATGAGTATTATCAAATCAAGCAAACATAATAGAAAATAAAGAAAAAAATAATAATAACTTGGGCAAACATGATTTAACGCGCGCAATTAAATAAAATTCAAACATCGTGGTTAATAATAAACGCAATTTAGGATGTGATGGTGAATAAAATTATAATTATTGCGGTTTAGTTTTTGTTTCAGTTCTAACTGGGTTGATTTCACACAAGATAAAGTGGTTTCATTACATTGTTTCGAATCTGAGCTACTCGCTCCGCAAAAACTTGACGCGAACCTATTGTTTGAGCTTTATATGAATGTTCATGGTGTTATGACTACGCGATGTTCTTCAATGATTATATTTGAAACAACAAGTTTAAAAACCATTAAAATTCATTAAAAAAAAAACTCTGATCTTAGACTTGGTACATCGAGTGATAAAATTAATGGTAATTCTATTTTTGAGTTGCATATATTACATTATTTCTATTGTTAGTCAATTCGCTTTAGTAACTCTCATTTGATTCTTGTGTACTTTGTCCGTATGGCGTCTTGATTGTTAAAGTCGTTTGCTATGATTATATTAGTTGCTCTGTAACAAAACTGTAGAGACGGGCCCAAAGGTGCGATAGTTTATTTCGAACTACGGACGATATGAGAATTAAAGGCCAATAGTGCGAACGGCGGGCGGACATTGCCCGTGGTGCGATTCCGTCGTACTCGACAGCATATGTAGGTCGGCCTAGTGCGCATGCCTCGCTAGGCACGAAGCCCAGTGCTTGCGTCGACACGCGATTGATCCATCCGAATGGAGTTATAAACGTAAATGTATCGTAAAGCGGTACGGATGTAATGGTTTCGCTTTGACGGTGTCGCTTTTAGATTTGGTCGTGTTGAAGTCAATCTTTATTGAAGTGTTACATCGCGAGGAATATATTATATTATATTACGAGTAAGTGAAGAGCCGTGATAGCTGACAATATACTCGGCGCCGGCACCAATGAAGTTTTTAACTTTAAGTGCCACCCATGGACGTGGCGTTGCCACCTTTTAATAAAATGGACCCCATACCTCGCTTGGTGCCCAGGAAGGGAGGGGGGGGGGGGGGGAACCAGAAAAAAATGATCTCACCAGACGAAACGCAGAAGTATAAATGTTCCACTTCACACCGGTCTTCTATAATTTCGTGGTACTTCCCCGGAACGACATACCCATTCGTGTAACAGCGAAGACTGCGTTTAACTTTAATTATGAAATTTACACTGATTAATGTCTAAACGTCGTGCTGTGTATTTGCTTCACTACATACATTGCTTTAACAATAAAATTCTTACCTTAATTTACTTTCATGTTTACAATTTATTTATGAATAAAATTTTAGCTGTGTATTTTAAAATTTTCACCTGTTTGCATGGTAGATAATATTTTTCATTGGACACATTATATATATTGTTAGGCTTCTATCTAACTGTGACAAGTTGCCTTTGGGCTCTTTGAACTCATCACGATTAATCCATTACATTCAATCCATTAGCTTCAATCTGGTGTACTTATGAGACAATTTAACTGATAACATCTACACTTGCTATCAGTACGATGGAGATTTCCAAGCATAGCGATGTGAGAAATGAGCCCATAGCGTCGGTCTGCTATTTATTGTTCAGTCGACGTCGACCTTCTCGTACAATAAACAACGTGGGCAAGGTCTTCCCGTTGCCGGCCGGTACCATAAAGTGTTCATCTATTTATATAATATATGTATGTATCCATAGAGCGTTACGACTCGTAAGTTAACAGCAAATTGACCTCTATATAATATTTGTTTTTCTCTACAAATCGGGCTTATTTATGTCCATTATTTAGTTTTGAAATAATTTAATCTTAATCGAAATACTTTCTGAAATATTACTTACATTTAATGATATCAGTTTCTTTCATCGAGGATCTTTTATTCTTTATTAAAAATTTACTTGAAGAAAAGAAAAGTTTTGCTGTCTTGACTGTTCTTACTTGGGAAATAATGGAACAAAACTAGTTCTCGATTACATGTTCATTTAAAATTTTATACATCTACGTTTCTATCCATACTTTACTCATAACTTCTACATACATCTGTTGAAAACAAACCCATTGGCTAGGCTTGACATTTACCGAGTTTGTTGCGTGAGATCACGTCTCGAACCTAATGCCATACCCTTCTCTCATCGTGCAAAATTCGCACACTTCGCGTATAACTGTTTATTCGACATTGATTCTCAATCACAAAACAAATCATTGCGAGCATTGGTTGCGAGTCACGGCTCGGTTCCGTAGCCTGAGACGCATTTCGATTCTGACGACGGCCATTGTATTGTTCGCACGTAGCGGTGCTAATACGTCTAAGGGACGTCGCAGACCCGCTTCATTGGGTTCCGTAACAATTGTTGAACGTAGTCTAATTGATTTCACTGCCGTTGCGAATGCGATGCTAATCGATAGCACTTTCGTATCCGTTTTGAAAGTCTAGACAGACGTTTGCAGTCTAATCCTTTGTTTTTAATTTTTAGCTAAAGCTTCATGGGACATAGAGCCTGCAGAGAAACGTATCTATATAATATTCTTACGTGGTTTGTAAGGGGTGTGTTGAATCTGAGTACGCGTGCCGTCTAAGCATTTTTTATGTGGACTATATTAAACCCATTGTTACCATAACCATATACAAATACAATTAACACGTCGTGTCTGGAAACACGTAGCGATAATTTCCATCCAATAGTTACGCCAACCAAATTACATTGCCCACGATAAGAACGGTGCGACAAGATAAAGATGTTGAAGAATATTATCCTCATGACTGTCATTAGTTGTGCTTGTTTGAAATTATGTCTATATGTAGTAACTGTTCGTAGAAGGTAGACTTAAACGTGCTGTAATAAAACCTGTTGCAATTGCTGAGATTTGTTATTTTGTAATGTGTATAAAGAAAATCAATATGGGCGCGGACATTTTAAAGTGTACTAACGTATCTTATCTTATCGTCGCGTGACGTCATCTCGAATAAATAACGAACGAGCGGCGAATTGCATTTGGATTTTCGAGTGTCGCCAGGACCCGTATGCAGTAGAACTCGCTGTTTGCATAATATAGTTAACCGGTCCGTCCATAAGTTTATTCGACGCCGCTGACTTCAAGGTGAATCGGTTGTTTTAGGTCAAATTATTACCATACGTTTCAGTGGGCACGTGTAATTGTGATAAAATTCACCCCGAGTGAAAGTTTTGGAAGATAATGTCGATATGTCTTGTATTGATATTTTCGTAATTCGGACGTTATGTTACAGCACCCAGTTTATTGGTTCGATTTTCACCCAGTACATTTTCTTTTTATTTTTATTACTTTAGATTAGTATATCTAAGATAATGTGCTAAGGTGTTACTCATATTAAATTCATAATATCTACTAAAGGTTTGTGCAAAGTGTGCGTCATTGCTTGCGAGATTGTACTCTAGGATAGATTAATACATTCACTTTTAATGGTATATATATTGATATTTTAGATACGTATATAAATGTCATTTTATGTAAAGCTAATTGTGTAACACAATGTAAAATATACTCACATCACGAACTCGGGACAACATTTATGCTACCTACGGGTCATCGAGGTAAAACGTCACGACACTTGACATGAGGCTGGATGCTCGCGCCGTTGGCAGGCTTTAAACATTGTACTAAATGCAGTAAATTAACTACCGGCACGCTTTAAGGTAGCCTTTTTTAATCAACACGGAAAAGAAAGTTAACTGATACATGATCTATCTATCAATTAGACGTAAAAAAAGTAAAGTAACAGCCTATACATGTCCCACTGCTGGGCAAAGGCCTCCTCTGTACAGAGGGTATCAGGGCATAGTTCACCACGCGGCCCCACTGCGGATTGGCGGACTTCACATATTTTCGAAACACATTTTTTGTTATTATTTCGAAAATATGCAGGTTTCCTCACGATGTTTTCCTTCACCGCTGAGCACGTGATAATTCAGCACTTAAAATTGACAATTTCATTGGTGCTGGCACCGGGGACCGAACTCAGGTTGCTCGAGTATATATTGAATTAAAGGCGAGCGCCCGGACACTGAGCTATCACGGCTCTCGATTATCTCGGCAATTAGACGTAACAATTACTATACATGTCTTACTGGGCAAAGGCCTCCTCTGTACAGAGGATTTTTTTTATATGTTTTTATATTACTATATTACGATAGTTATTTCTCAACTATCCTTTTCGCAGAGCATTGAGCGTGGCGCGGTGAGGCGACAGTAGGTCGCGATGACGACCGACATCTCGGTGTCCCGATGGGACCCCTCCATCGGCCACGGGCAGGAGATAATAGACGAATTCGAGTACGACGGCGGCAACTCCTCATCGAGGCTCTACGAACGATCGCGCATCAAGGCGCTAGCAGGTGAATATTACATGTTGCCGGTTGAGACGTGCGAAATTTCAGCACGGGCAATATAAGACATTGACTTTACTTTACTTACACTACATCTTTCATTTAAATAAGCTGTCAAAATGGTTATCATATTAATTTTTTAAATTTAGTTTTATTCAACGATTTAAAATTTTTGAATCGTTGAATTTGATGAAGAATTATGGCGTACCGGTAAGCAACACCATTGAGAAATAATATAATGTGTATGGAGATATGCATTCAACATCCGGCTGGGCAAGTTGTTGTACCATTGCCGACAGGCGGCGCTGTAAATAGTCGTACATTCGCTTCAACAGTACTAACTATAAACTAAACTATAAAAGTCCAATGTATTTCCTAGCCCATCCTTAAAGATTCCATATTTTTTAAGATATGTAATTATAAAATGCTTGAAAGTCATGATGATGGAACCTTGAGTAAATCAATTAGATCTGTAATTTTTGTTAAGCCCCAGATAGAGCTGCCCTGGCTATAAAGTGGGCAATGTGTGATTGATCATTGATTTCAAACGTTTTTTGTATTTTTTAAATTTTAAGAATATTTTTTGTATATACACGATTATATTTTGTATAATCGTGTATATGTATATACCTTGCGATTTATTATTGAAACATCATATATCAACATATATCGCTTTATGGACTGAGTAATTTAGAAGAACATTCTAGGCATATTTTTGCAAGTAAATAACTGTCAAAGTAATTTTAGACCTATATTTTGTTATTGGGCGAAAATAAATATGAGCCATTGTTTCCAATGCTGTTATTAATAATTTAATATTGTTAATCACAGTATTTGAAATAATTATCGTATTGTATTAACAACAAGTTTCGTTTATTTGCTTTTGACACACTCATGCCTAACAATGTCCAATGAACATAAGATTAGGGATGTGGCAGACTTCAAACATCTTCATACTATGATTTTTTGTTTTATTATTGCGAAAACATGTAGGTTTCCTCGCGATGTTTTCCTTCACCGCCCAGCACGTGTTAAACTAGTACTAAATACACATTAATGATTGCAGTTTAGAACGTCCTCCTTCAGGTACCAGAATTTGAAAAAAGGTTGCTCGAACATACTAAATTAAAAGCATTACCACTTATGATAGGATGGCTGGAATCCATGCATAAGCATTGCAAGACTTAATGCCTACCTGCTAGGACCTAGGACCTAGGTGATGCAGAGATGAAATAAGCAGGTGTAAAAGTAAAGAAAAAACACTAAAAAAAATATAATTATAATGAATACTATTATTACAAGACAATAAATGAGCAAGATAATTAATATTTTTGTAGCACCTACGGTTACAGTAGGCTTTGTAAACTGGCTGAAATATTTATAATTAAAGCAGCACCTAATTTGCATTATATAAATATATATTTCAAAGCTACTTTGATTGTAAACTTACTGGTACTGAAAATACAGAAGCGTCTCCAGTTCCATAAAAAAATAATAACAACGTATAAGATTCATTGTTAACTTTTTTCCGTTTGATCGACCGTGAATGTACCGCTTTGGTACCGATTGGCCACGATCGAATCGGAGAAATAATACGGTTCTGCCGTTTTCGACGAGGAGTCCACATTTACAGCGGTGCTCAACGTAGCGGCACTAGTCAGATGCAATAAATCAACCTATAATAAGATCCACTAATATACAATAAGTCCATTAAATCTTATAAAATTAAAAAAATAATTTTTAATCACGTTCGAAATATTTATTTCATTCTACTTATTTTTGTCCTGGTAATAATATAACTTTATTACATTTATATTAATAACAATGGCGAACTGACTCGTCTTTATCAATAACGCTACCGTAATTTCCGTTTTCCCATCGAAATACAGGGATGTGAAACATTGATATTTATTCTATTTTATTAAAATAAAACTCTATTATGGATGTTGATTCGAATTAATATAAGAAATTATTATTTATAAATTACAACAGGTGTGCCAGTTTTGACCGTTTATCTATTTATCGGACTCTGAAATTTTTATCTGTTTAGCACTTATCAGATAGTACTCTAGTATTCTCTCGTGTTTGTCGTTACACATCTTCGTGTCTGCCGTCGGCGTTATGTTCGTGAGAAATTTTGACATATTATATTTTGACGTTTCGTTCGGTTTCATTACATTGTGCGGATCAGTTCATTTTAGTATAATTTTGTCATCCCAATTGCACTGCGGCTCGAATCGATCAGAGCCGTTCCTAAAGTTGTTGACATCTGGAGCGTACGTATCGAATATCCTTGTCCAGCGGGCGGTTGGATTTAGTCGCTCTAATTCTTCCCGTTCTTTCGCCTCGCAGCCGAGCGTCAGTCTCGCGGCGCTGGTGATATGACATCGACGGAGTGTTACGACCTCATAAAGAGGGGTGTTGATATCGAGGTGCCCGGTCTAGAAGTTTACTATGACAAAGTCGTGTCGGAGCTTAGAGGTTTGTGCATGTGCATCTGTTAGTATTCGTTGCTATATTGTGCGGTGTGTTGTGATAATAGGCGCGGTTGTGTGTCGTCGTTCACCGGTTTTTCCTCGTTTTGCGCATACCCAGGGAACTGAAATGCGTTGTTCGGCGATTTGACGCTTTGGGTTGTCTCCGAGGCTTTCGGCGCCTTGTCTCGTCGTGTGAGTGATCATCGCTTCGCACGGCCGAAGTGAAGGGTCCCTAGGGGCCGTCTCGCAGTTGCGAGCGTCGTCTCGCTTGAAATCCTACCCGCGGCTCGGGTTGCCCGTATCGTTTCTCGATGCCGGCGCGGCGTTCCGGCCCGCGGAGTATCGACGATGCAGCGGCCCAGGGCGGACGGGGTGGAGCGCGGACGGCTGTGGCCGAAGCCGCCGATATGGTCGCCACTTCGCGGGCGGCCCCACTGGCGGTTACTGTGTTATCATTGCCTTCTTCTATACGCTTACGGGGTCCCCTCGCGGCCGGATTGGTTGTTTTGTTTCTTTCTCCCGCTAGGTCGCGGTGACTGGCTATAGAGACTCTGTCAGTCACCGCCACCTCGGTGTTTTGATGTGAAGTTCCTTATTTGAATAGTCTTTTTTTTATTTATAGACTGATTGTGAAATTATGTCTTTCTGTTGTCGCTGACTGCGTTTGATTCGATTTTTCCTAGAACGTCGATGGCAAATGGGATTGTGTTATATTTTATTGCTTTTAATTATAGTCGTCTCTATTCGAATTTATCATATTTTATCTTGTCGCTAACTGATTTAAAGTGGTTAGTAATACTCGTAACTCAAATATTGACGGGTTTATTGTGCAGGTTTTCTAACAGTCAATCTCCAGCATTCCTATCACTATTAATCAGTCAATAAACATAATTGTAACGGTTTTTAATCGGTAGCTGGCATAGCAGCAATTTGCATGTTATATGTTGCCCGTATATAAAATAATTTGTTTTATCCTCTATATCAATTTCGAAGGAAATATATCAATCGCCGAAAGCAGGTTTAATGTAAGGCTAATAATAACTTGTGTATATATATATATATATATATATATATAAATGTGTTGTGAAATGTTTAATGATATAATAGTACCGCGCAAGGGATGTGTGCGACGAATTAATTTCCATCTATTTCCTCACCAGACGAACGAGAGAACGTGCAGAAGAAGACCTTCCAGAAATGGGTGAACTCCCACTTGGTTCGCGTCGGGTGCCGCATTGGCGACCTTTACGTGGACATGCGCGATGGCAAGATGCTCATCAGGCTGCTGGAGGTGCTCTCCGGCGAGAGACTGGTGAGTGGCGACCCTAAATATTCTTTTTCGCAGTCTTTTAGTTTACTCGGCTATGCTTGAATCATATTCGCAGCATGTCGCAACATAGTATTAACTACACACGGTAGTCGGATATATGCAATCCTTGAATTGTATGATATGGCCTTTGGTTTGTATGATATATATGATATGTCCGACTACCTTACAAGTGTTTGTCCCCTACATACGGTTTATATTATATTAGTTACTAGCGACGCGCCCCGGCTTCGCTCGGGTGCAATGTATCATACATATACATCTTCTTGAATCACTCATATATAGTAAAATAAAACCGCATCAAGATCCGTTTCGTAGTTTTAAAAATATAAGCATATATAGGGACAGACCGACAGCGGGATGACTTTGTTTTACTCGTATACTATGTAGTGATAGAGATTGGTGTTCATTTTGGGTCCGCCCTTACTGACTTGTTACCAGGGATTACCTCGCTTATAGACTAGTCGCCGTTATCTTTTTCGTTATTAGAATATTGTACAAGTAAAAATAATCTTAAAGGCAAAATTTGGTAGCTTTTTACTGAGCCGTTATATTAAGTCAGCCAGTCGTGATAAATAAACATTCAAGGCCATCATGGAAGGACAACAGACCCGCTGTGATGGACTATGTTGTATGGACAAAATATTATGCGAGATGACACTAACAAGAAAAACATAAAAATGAAAATGAATTAATCAGTAAAAAAGTTCAAATATTTTAACGTAAATAGCTGTGGTTAGAAAACACTGATAAATTTTAGTGCGAATTATGCGATTGTATGTAACTGAGAAATATAAAGCTAACCAAGAAAAGAAGAGGGCAGTATAGTTGGTAGGGGGGAGAATTATATTTTTCATAAATATCTGAACTGCTTAGCCAACCGATCAAACATTGCCAAATGAATGTTGTTACTTAGGCGATTACTAGCTGATGATACCTGGTGTGATTTATCTTAAACTCAAATTATCATCACAGATTGTTTTAAAATTCAATTAGCATCTCAAACGAATTTTAAGAGTTCTGAGATGGCAACCGGACAACTTTTATGAACAATTAAGCCTGGGAACGCAACGAGGATAAGAATTCGACTTGCATTGTCCCTAAAGGCCCAACCGCCCACGTCTTCAAAACTGCATGCGACTTTCCCTACATGGCTTAGGAGGCAAGACCGGGTTTTGAGACTCATTTCCAGAAATGCAAAGCAAACGAGTGACATAGATTTTTGTTCGCTTCTTATATAAAGAAATCTTATCCTGATTATTCGAATGAATCATTTGTCGTACGGTAGACTAAATCATTCATCAAAATGTTTTCATATACGACTTTTATTGATGGATATGTTTTCCGCTTCACCGTGAGATTAATAGTATTAAAAAATTATTACTAAAATTTTATTATTAAATAAAGAAATAGTAAAAAAAATTTTTAAGTTAAACGGTTTTATTGAAAATGATGTAGAAAATGTACTTAAAGCTAAAATATAATTCGGTAGGTCTTAAATATTAGTCATCACATCACTATCTTCATCAATTTACGGCATTGATCAGACAAAAAAAAATCGGTGGGCGCGCGTCATCTGGGTAAATATGTACGCCATTTACCACTTAGATTTAGCGGTTGACTTGATATAAATTTCACACGCCCAACGATTTTATTTTAATTAAGTTAATAAATTATTATTAACTTTGCGTGTAGAAGGGGTCTTAAGAGAGCTTTCCGTCCCACAGCCAAGGCCGACCAAAGGCAAGATGCGTATCCACTGCCTGGAGAATGTTGACAAGGCGCTGCAGTTCCTGAGGGAGCAGCGAGTGCATCTGGAGAACATGGGTTCCCATGACATCGTGGACGGCAACCCACGCCTCAGCCTCGGTCTCATCTGGACCATAATCCTCCGTTTCCAGGTAACTGGCTTCTCATTGAAAAAAAGAAACTTTTTTTTTATTTAAAACATTGTCATTTTAAAACCCTTACTTTTATTTGAAAAAAGACATGGTTTAATTATTTTTTTTTATATATAGTGATTATTTATCTCATTGCATTTATCTTGTGACATAAGGAAATTTTATACACACTAACCTCACGCGTACAAAACACTTAAATCCGGTACAATTGTCTTGTGGATCACCCAAATACTTGTCCCGTGTGGGGATAGAACCAAAGACTTAGCCGGAAGCAATATCATAACTAGCAACTGTGCCACCGAAGGCATTTCAATATTCTATCTACTGATCTACAGATTTGGTTACTGGAGATAGAATTTTGCCCTAAGTATTATAGATCTAAAGCCAAATACGTATTGTCAGTAACTAAATCTATCTGTTGATACGTTGAGCAATATGGATTGTTGATCTTGGAATATTCATAAGTATTTGGGTGGACCCAAATTATTTAACAATACTTGTCAACTTATTGAAATTTTCTTGCGAATCGCTCCACTGCCTCTTACCGTTGTTCAATTTTCACTCGGTTCAACCGCCTCACGCACACGGCTGGGCCTCACCGTAACCGCTAATGCAGCAATTGACTAATCGTCGTGTTAAACTCCGCCCGCAGATCCAGGACATCACGATCGAGGAGACAGACAACAAGGAGACGAAGTCCGCGAAGGACGCGCTGCTGCTCTGGTGCCAGATGAAGACGGCCGGCTACAACAACGTGAACGTGCGCAACTTCACCACGTCGTGGCGCGACGGACTGGCCTTCAACGCGATCATCCACAAGCACCGGCCCGACCTGGTGCAGTTCGAGCGGCTGCACCGCGCCAACCCCATACATAACCTGAACAACGCGTTCAACGTCGCCGAGGAGAAACTGGGCCTCACGAAGCTGCTCGACGCCGAAGGTACACTACTCGCTATGATCTCCTGGTACTTAAGCTTGATGATAGTAATGTAACTACGATAGCGCTGTGTAATGAAACATTATACGGATTTTATCGCGTTTAATTAGATTGCCAATGAATGCTGGAAAGATTTGTTCCCTTGACGATGAACGCTGGAAAGTGTTCGAAACGTCGGGAATTTAAAAATCTATCAAAAAAAGAAATTAAGAATTTATTTAAATGAAGCTAGCTTAATTTAAATAAATTCTTTGAATTAAGCTATTGGTTTCGACGCCGGGTGTCGTGGGTTCGATTCCCAAACGGGACAAGTATTTGTGGTACCTACAGATAATTGTTTCGGATCTGGGTGTTTGTACCCAAGCGGTTTTGACGTCAGGCAGGCTGCCGGTCGTTAGAAAAAATGCCTGCCAAAGTCACTGAAACCACGATTTAAACAATCTGCCGACCGCACCTGAGTGGGATAAGGCCAGATGGATGATGAGGATTGATATAACTGCTAAAATCTATGGACAATACTTCCTTTGCTGGTGATCAAAGAAGCTAGGATTTAAAACGCTGTAATGGTGCTACCGGGCAATACATCTTTTAAAAGAAGTATAACGGACAGTTGAGTTATTGCCAGCGTGAAGATAATACTGCCTTGGTAAACAAAAGTATGCATGTAATAATTATACATGTTACACTGCCTGTTAAATTACATTTATAACATTAAAGTCAAATTAAGCAAGCCTTAAATACTTATCGAAAGATTGATATTGTATTGCACATATATGACGAGTGAAAGCGAAAATAATGCTGTGAAATCAACAAATACGAATCAGCTCGATTTAAAATGTGTCAAAGTACTAAGAAATTTTTAATCTGTCCAACATAGATATTGCCGTCGACCATCCGGACGAGAAGTCGATCATCACTTATGTGGTGACCTACTACCACTACTTCAGCAAGCTGAAGCAGGAGACCGTTCAGGGCAAGCGTATCGGCAAGGTCGTCGGAATCGCGATGGAGAACGAGAAGATGATGATGGAATACGAGTCGCTTACCAGGTGAGCTATGGTGTAATTATGTGCAGCTTAGTGTCTGGACCACAAAAACACGAGCAATTCTTGTATATATATAAAATTGTATAAATAAATATATGTATATATATATATATATATATATATATATATATATGTATATATATCTGGCGGCGTGAAAGTTTTTAGTCAATGAATATAATAAACTCATTTCAAAGTATAAGGTTTCATTACGGTGGTAGGGCCACGCAGCAGCCTCGGCTGTTGCACGAATGGGCAGGCCCGTCCGGGTAAGTACCACGACCTCACAGAAGACCGGCGTAAAGTGGAAGTATGACAAATACTTTCGCGTTTCGTCTGGTGAGTGAGGTAGCCGGAGCCCAATTTTCAAAAGGTTGTCAACGCATCTGTAACCCTCGAGTGTAGCAGATGTCCATGGGCGGCGGTATTCACTTAACATCAGGTGAACCGTCTGCTCGTTTGACAACTTTTCGCATATAAAAAAAAAAAAAAAGGTTTCATCTGGAATGTAGACTAGCACTAAACATACGAAAAATAATGTGAAAAGTGTATTTCAATTATAAATTTACTTTTTATTTCAGCGATCTGTTACAATGGATCGAAAGGACTATCGAAGCGCTGGGCGACAGGACGTTTGCCAACTCGTTGGAGGGAGTGCGACAACAGCTCATACAGTTCGCCAACTACCGCACCGTGGAGAAACCGCCAAAGTAAGATGCATTATCTCGTCACATGTATGTAATGCATGTGCCGAAAACTTGTGTACAAAAAGCAATGACGTTGACTGTTGCTAAATATTGGCATGAATATAAAATGATAACATTAATCAGCATACTAGAATAACATAAATAAAGTGGGTTAAAATATACATTTCTTTTAAACGACAAAATTAGTTTGAAATCATCATGTAAAATAACTTTTTTTTAAATTGTTTGTTTCTCTTTTGTCCTAATATATGAACAGCCGATTTGCGCGTAATAATCGACGGACGTTTATCGAGCTCGGAAACGCAGGCAAACGAATGCATCCTTACTTCTCACCCCCCAACACGATACAAATCGTCCGCCTTGTTCCGCGTACACGCCGTCGCGCAAGTGGTGACCCGCCCGCTTGGCACTCAGGTTCGTGGAGAAGGGCAACCTGGAGGTGCTGCTGTTCACGCTGCAGTCGCGGATGCGCGCCGCCAACCAGCGGCCGTACACGCCGCGCGAGGGCCGCATGATCCACGACATCAACCGCGCCTGGGAGCGCCTCGAGAAGGCGGAGCACGAGCGCGAGCTCGCCCTGCGCGAGGAGCTCATCCGCCAGGAGAAGCTGGAGCAGCTCGCGGCCAGGTAATCGACAATGTTCTGGAATACATTCAACTCGTATATACAGGTCGTTCTCGGTACGACTACTGATTCTATTGTAGAATATTCGACACATCTTTTATAGTTAGTCTTTCTTGATAGGTTTTTTTATAAGAGTCAATCTCACACCCTTGATGATGCTTAACGTCCGTCGCAGGTTCAACCGCAAGGCGCAGATGCGCGAGACGTGGCTGTCGGAGAACCAGCGGCTGGTGAGCCAGGACAACTTCGGGTTCGACCTGGCGGCCGTGGAGGCGGCGGCCAAGAAGCACGAGGCCATCGAGACCGACATCTTCGCCTACGAGGAGCGCGTGCAGGCCGTCGTCGCCGTCTGCTCCGAGCTGCAGGCCGAGAGGTGGTGGTCTTTTTAACCTTTTCAAGGTTTAAAGGACACCTACAAAGTTTCCGACCTTGTGTGGTGGCCAAAAAGCGGCGCTGATCGCTTTTACCGCATTTTCTTAACGTTCTTAATGGAACATTCGAGAAGATTGTTAATAGAAAATATACATTTAAGAAATACTTGTCAGTGGGGATTATAAATGTGTTACGTGGAAATAAAACCATCACATTAGTCAAATTGTTATTGAATATAAGAAGAAAGCTATTATATATTAGTTACATGTTAGTTTTTCAGCAATTCCTTTATATTTAAATTACACCTATATTATAAAGTTAGTTCTTTAATCATTCCTTAAATAGTGTATAAACATATAATATTTTTCTTTCGTGTGAAAGAAAACCACAGATGCGTAGCTACGCAACTGCAAGAAGTTGTTTTACTTTTCTTAATATTGCAAATTATTTATATATTGTATTTTCTTAACCCATACTTTTTGTTGGAATTATGTAGGTACCACGACATGGAGCGAGTATGCGCCCGCCGAGACAATGTTCTTCGGCTGTGGGCTTACCTTCTAGAGCTGCTGCGCGCAAGACGGGCTCGCCTCGAGCTCTCTTTACAGCTGCAGCAGAACTTCCAGGTGAGACAACACGGGATTTTTTGCTTTGCCTAAATTCATAGCTCAGGCTTGTTATTCGAACGATATTATGGCAGGCGGTACAAAACTAACAAGCGCCCATATTATGTCAGCCTGCTAGTTCTACGTGTATACCATGTAGCGAAGAAATTACGTAATATTATAAATCAATCCTTAAAAATAAACAGCAACCGTATTTACGACTGTACTTCAAGACTGTTCTGCAGTGTATTCAACATGACAAGATTAAATAATTAACAGAAATAAAATAAAACCTATGATGGTTATACATGCATTAGTTTAAATATGCATTTAATCAGAAAGGATGTCTCTGGATCTGAACAAAACATTTAGCGTTTATGTTTTAGGTATGGGTCCATGAAACGTCCTGAGCAAAAATGAAACAAAAAATGTGTATAATAAATACACAAAAATTCCTATTAAAAATTCACAACGCTTTTCATTTAAAAATATTTTGTTCCTTATTAAACATTTCTCACTCGGGAATCTCTAATTGCAGGAGATGCTCTACATCTTGGATTCCATGGAAGAGATCAAGATGCGCCTGCTGACGGACGACTACGGCAAACATTTGATGGGCGTGGAAGATTTGCTGCAGAAGCACGCTCTTGTCGAGGCTGACATCAACGTCCTCGGCGAACGCGTTAAGGTTAGTAAAAAACGTGAATACGTTGACAAGTTTCTTCTCTCATATTCTCTATACTCTTATATCTTACTTCAAGACTTTTCATTCAATAACAAATTCTCTTTTAGTTTTTTATTTGCACTTTTAAGAAAATGACCTAACCTTTTAAGTAGATTTTTAAACTTTGAATGATTATATGGCATGTCACACAATCTACTGGTGTTGTAATTATGATCATAACATTCACTCTTTTCCCAGGTGGTTGTGGGGCAGTCGCAGAGGTTCCTCGAACAGGAGGAAGGTGGCTACCGCCCTTGCGATCCGGCCATCACCGTGGATCGCATTCAGCAGCTCGAGAACGCCTACGCCGAGCTTGTGCACCTAGCGGTTGAGCGCAGGCAAGGATTTCTTTTAACTTGTTAAAATTACTTTTAACAATAAAAGAAGGTTTTGCTCTCTTTTAATTCGGTAGACTAAAACAACCCGACTTGAAATTGAAGTTCCAAACATAGATGGAGTTAAAAATTATATGCGCAAAAAACCTACCTGCATCTGGAACAATGTGCTTTCTTTACAGCAAACTTGAAATTGATGCTTATAGTCGTTTTCCTTTACGTACAGGAAGCGTCTTGAAGACAGCCGCAAACTGTGGCAGTTCTATTGGGACATGGCTGACGAGGAGAACTGGATCAAGGAGAAGGAGCAGATCGTATCTGTTGATGACATCGGTCACGATCTTACTACCGGTAAGCACATACATTTCATTTCTATGATTGCTCAATAATATCCTTTGGTCTTTTAATGCTTTTTTATTAATTGGCAATATTCGTTACGTTATAATAATGTTGAGTTTTAGATTAACGTGATAATTGTCAAATATGCACTTTGCTTTGTTACCAAATGAATATTAAAATTTGTTTAGAAAAAGTCCTATCCCCGTTTTGCGGAATCGCGCCCAGACGCTTTAACCACCAAGCTAAATAGCTGAATACCACACTGATGAAATCTCAACGCGTTTTATCTATATAACGCGAAAACCTTTTAATGTTTCATCCGAGTGCAGAGATTAGCACCATAGAAGTTTTAAAATTCCAATCCTTATCCCTTCGCAGTGTACCTGCTGATCTCGAAGCACAAGGCGCTGCAGGCCGACGTGCAGGCGCACGAGCCGCAGCTGATGAGCGTGGCCGCCGTCGGAGACGAGCTCATCTCGCAGGGCCACTTCGGCGCCGACCGCATACAGGCAAGGACCACCTCCGTAGTGTGACTAAAGTAAAGCGAATAAAGTAAATTAACAGCCTGTGCAAGTCACACTGCTGGGCAAAGGCCTCTATACAGAGGGTTAGGGTAATAATCGATTTGGGGCCTTAATTAGTAAATAAATAAATCTTTTAGGACACATGACTGACGCAGAAGGCAGGCACAATACCCATTACGCCATTCAGGTCATATTTTTTAAGTTTGTTTCCTATAATCAATCTAATTCTGTTCAGTTCAAATATTAGCAATAAATTTATAAAACAAATCATTTTTTACTCTTTGTATATTTTCCTTTATTTAATTGTATATTTTTGTTACTTAGGATCGTCTTCGCGATATCCTGTCACAATGGAACCACCTTCTGGACGTCGTGTCACTGAGGAAGAACCGATTGGACGCGGCGGTCAGATACCACCAACTGTTCGCAGATGCGGATGACATTGACAACTGGATGTTGGACACGCTCAGGTAATTATTTGTTCTTTTTTTTTATCTAAATGTGGTATGGACATCTAAGACACTGCCGAAATGCAGCTGCTAAGTCAACCTTCACTGAGTGTGTGCTTACCTCAATCAACAAATGTAATGTAGACAAAGCGACTTTAAAAGAATAATAAAACACGATATAAAGAAATAAACAGCAAATGAATTTTTTGAAAATATTTAGCCTTATTAAGAAGTAAAAACAATGCATTATTACATAGTTTATTAACTATAAACTAAAGTGTTTTACTGCTGAAGATTTCAACCTGTTTAAGATTGGCAATGCACTTTGCGAGGGAACTACTATCTTGTTCAGCAAATGTTTGACAATATAAAGAAATATGCTGAATTTATTTTAAATTGTTTAGGTTGGTGTCGTCGGAGGATACTGGTGTGGACGAGGCTCAAGTGCAGAGTCTGCTGAAGAAACACAAGGACGTCACCGACGAGTTGAAGAACTACGCCAACGTAATACAACAGCTGAAACAACAGGTTCGCTTATTTACAATACTTGTTGTCTGTTCGTTGTCCTTTTTTGGTTACCACGTTCTTTAGACGATTACTTGTGGGATATAACTATCGGCCATTTTAAAAATATATAGATTTTTAACCGACTGCTGCGAAGCCAAAATGTTTGACCTGGATCGGTCACCTCGCTCACCTGGCCTAGTGGGCGAGATAACCGAGGTCCTCCTGCTTTGAGCGAACATCAGGATAATCACCTGCTCGCTTTTCATATAAAAGTGTGGTGTTTGCAGGCGAGCGAGCTGAGCCCCGAGGACGCGAGCAGCGCGGAGGTGAGCTCGCGGCTGGCGGCGATCGACGCGCGCCACGGCGAGCTGGCGGCGCTGGCGCGGCTGCGCAAGCAGCGGCTGCTCGACGCGCTCTCGCTCTTCAAGCTGCTGGCCGAGGCGGACGCGGCCGACCAGTGGATCGCAGAGAAGCACCGCATGCTCGACACCATGCTGCCGCCCGCGGACATCGACGACGTGGAGATCATGAAGCACAGGTACGGGACCGCAATACACATTATATATTACTAGCTTTTTTTTATGTGAAAAGTACCCAAGCAAGCAGACGGTTCACCTGATGTTAAGTGAATACCGCCGCCCATGGACATCAGCTACACTCGAGGGTTCCAGATGCGTTGACAACCTTTTAAAATTGGGCACCGGCCACCTCACTCACCAGACGAAACGCGAAAATATACTTCCTCTTTACGCTGGTCTTCTGTGAGGTTGTGGTCTGACCCGGTCGAGCCTGCCCATTCGTGCAACAGCCGAGGCTGCTGCGTAGCCGAGGCTGTTGCCTAGTCAGTTTGCAGTGTCAACGTTGGTAGACCGTTAACACTGCAAACTGACTAGGCAAACGTTATTTTGCCATATAAATTATTTATAGGGTGGAAAAAATGTTTGGTGTGGACCATCCTTAACATTTAGGGGGATGATAAATAGATGTTGTCCGATTCTCCATCTTAGCCGATATGCACACAAAATTTTACGAAATTCGGTCAAGCCGTTTTGTAGGAGTTCAATTACTTAATTAAACATTTAACATTACCATGGAGGGGTTAAACGTTCAATGCTCCTAGGGAGGAGGAATAAGAAAGATTTTCACTTCACTTTTTTCTTATCCACTCAAAACAACTCTTTTGTCAGATACGACGGCTTCGACAAAGAAATGAACGCTAACGCCTCTCGTGTGGCCGTCGTGAACCAGCTGGCACGTCAGCTCATCCACGTGGAGCACCCTCAGGCTCCGAAGATCCAGGAGCGTCAAGCCAGCCTCAACCATGCTTGGAGCACGCTGCGCGAAAAGGTCACTACCACATAATCTTATCTTACTTATGTCGCTGCTTGCCTCAACTACAGACTCTTATAGGACCACTGTTGATATCTTTATCCTCTTTTTTTTCTGTAGGGATATCAAATAACAATATATTATAAATCCTTAAAAAAATCAAGAAATTTGGCATGAATCAGGAAGAAAATATCCCAAAAATTGTTAATTTATCACGCAATATAATTTTGTATGGTGGTAATGTAAAACATATTATAAAACATATTTATAAAATGTTAAAAAATACTTCACTTTTTCCAAAAAACATCTGGCGTTATACTGTATACATATGATAAGGCAACAGAAGTGTACCAAGACTAAGAAAAAGGGATACATTTCATTAACTAAGTCATTCTTTGTAACTAGCTCATTTTATATAAAATCCATTTAATTTCTACATTTATGCTGTAATATTAATTCATGAAGCAACTTTAGTGATGATAAAATCTTAATGAAATACATAATAAAGAACAATAATCTGTGAATTCAGAAAAAATATTAATATTATCATGTTTACCATGATTATGATATTTGTTTGATCAGGCGGAGGCCAAGAAGGACGAGCTGAAGGCGGCGCAGGGCGTGCAGACATTCCACATCGAGTGCCGCGAAACCGTGTCCTGGATCGAGGACAAGAAACGCATCTTGCAGCAGACGGACAACCTGGAGATGGACCTCAACGGTAAATTTAATTTCCATGTGATATAGAATAGTAATTTCACAACCAGCATATATGCACTCACAGAACAGAAGCATTTGTACATGACTTACTCAATAAGCGTATTTTTCTTTTTTTTTATTTGATAAAGTGGCAAACGAGCTGGCCTTTCACCTGATGTTAAGTGATAACCGCCCCCCATGGACATTTGCAACACCTGTAGGGTTGCAAATGTATTGCCATCTTTAAATAAAGTGGACCCCGGCTATCTCACTCACCAGACGAAACGCAGAAGTGTTACACTTCAACTTTACGCCGGTCTTCAGTGAGGTCGTGGTACTTACCCGTTCGTGCAACAGTGAACGCTGTTGCGTGGCCCTACCACGGTGATATATATATTTATTTACAAAAGAAAAGTATGTATATCAGCTATAGTTTGTGACTAGATGATGTACTCGTTTGTGTCTACAGGCGTGATGACGCTGCAGCGGCGGCTGTCGGGCATGGAGCGCGACCTGGCCGCCATCCAGGCGCGCATCGCGTCGCTGGAGGGCGAGGCCAGCGCCATCGAGCACTCGCACCCCGACGAGGCGCAGCTCATCCGCGACCGCATCGCCCTCATCAACGACAACTGGGACCAGCTCACGCACATGGTACGCCGTCCGACGGACAGAGTTTCACTGTAATGCTATTGGATCGCCCTACTGTGGTAGGGCCACGCAGCAGCCTCGGCTGTTGCACGAATGGGAGGGCTCGTCCTCGCAGAAGGCCGGCGTAAAGTGGAAGTATGACAAGTGCTTTCGCGGAGACCAATTTTCAAAAGGTTTTCAACGCATCTGTAACCGTCAGGTGTAGATGTCCATAGGCAGCGGTACTTAACATCAGGTGAACCGCCTGGTCGCTTGTCAACGTTTCACATAAAAAAATAGGAACATTTTTCTAAACATTGAATTTGGAACATGCATCTTTCCATTGAGTAGTCCAGGAAGTTGTACCTGTATTGTATTTCTTGTCATATTAATTTCTGTTTCTTGCTACTGCTGCGCTCTTGAAGGTCAAAATGTGAGGGTATAAAATCCCAAACCATTTGCAAGTATAACAAACGATTGTGAATTAATTTTTCCTTCAGTGAAATTTTTGATTTACATTTGTGCTACAGCTAACTGTGTATAATGCGATCTAGAATTATTTTAATAACTTCGTCATAAAGGACAATTTTAAATATTTTTAAAACTTTATTATTCTTCATATCAGCTCAAAGAACGCGACGCGAAACTGGAGGAGGCTGGAGATTTACATCGCTTCTTGCGCTCCGTCGACCACTTCCAAGCGTGGCTCACTAAGACCCAGACCGATGTTGCGTCAGAAGGTAAGCCAGCCGCTGGAACTGTTAATTATATGAAATTCACATTTATTAAATATTAATTCTGCTTGAAATTCAATAAACTTTGTCAAGTAGCACTTTAACTATTAATCGACATGTCTTGGCCTTGCATTATTGTCTATTTGTTTATTTGGTACTGTTGTCTGAATGCCTTAAATGATATTCCATAATTAACTACTACATCATTTTCAGACATCCCATCGTCTTTGGCCGAGGCCGAGAAGCTACTGTCTCAGCACCAGACCATCAAGGAGGAGATCGACAACTACAAGGACGAATACGCCAAGATGATGGAGTATGGAGAGAAGATCACTGCCGTGAGTTGCTATCAGTTTCTACAGGAATAAACTTTTCGCTAAGTAAATCCCTTTTTTGAGTAAATTGAAATTTATACAGATCAGAGAATGTGATAATAGAAACTGTGGTAAGGCCACGCAACAGTCTTCGCTGTTGCACAAATGGACAGGTCCTTCCGGGTAATTACCTTAACCTCACAGAAGAACGGCGTGAAGTGGAAGTGTTGTACTTCTGCATTCGCCTGGCGAGTGAGGTGAGGCGGGCCCACTTTATTATAAGGTGGCAACGCATCTTGCCGCCCTTTGGCTGTTGGAAATATCAACAGGCGGCGGTTACCATGTAACATCAGATGAACCGCCGATTCCTTTGCCACATAGAAGAAAGTAATTTTTTTTACGCAAAGCATCTCGTCCACCTTCTCACATAAAAAATAAGAAAGTGACTTACGCTTAAAAGCATCTCGTGAAATCCGCCTTCGTCAGGAGCCGGGCACCCAGGACGACCCGCAGTACATGTTCCTGCGCGAGCGTCTGAAGGCGCTGCGCGAGGGCTGGGCGGAGCTGCAGCAGATGTGGGAGAACCGGCAGCAGCTGCTCGCGCAGAGCCTCGAGCTGCAGCTGCTGCAGCGCGACGCGCGCCAGGCGGAGGTGCTGCTCGCGCACCAGGAGCACAGGTATGCGCAGAGAATGGAACAAAAAGTACCAAAGGCCGCTTTCGTTAAACCAATCGCGTTGGTTTACGCGCCAAATGATGCCTGCCACTGCCCTTTGGTGGTGCCCACTTTATATTCCCACTACTGGCTATATCTCTGGCCTTTGGTGCCCCGTAGACTTAAATATCGACTAGTGTGCAATCAAGTGCGTTTTTCAATATGTTTGCCAGTGAGGTGTAAACACTTACGTGATATAAATAAAATATTTTAATTGAGTTCAAATTGTTTGTTCTTAAAATAGGTTTACTCATACAAACATAAAAGTGTTCAACATTTTGATTTCGTCTACTTTCTAATTTTTAATTTTCATTATACTTTATTACTCTGCAAATACTACATATAATATAAAATATAAAATATTTTATTTTTAGGCTAGCTAAGACGGAGCCGCCTACCAACTTGGAGCAAGCCGAGAACATGATTAAAGAACACGAGGCATTCCTCACGACAATGGAAGCCAACGACGATAAGATCAATTCGGTGGTGCAATTCGCCAACCGTTTGGTCGAGGAGAGACATTTCGATGCCGACAAAATCCAACGCAAGGCTGAGAACATCGAGGCCAGACGCAACGCCAACAGGGAGAAGGCCCTGCAGCAAATGGAGAAACTGCAGGATCAACTGCAACTGCACCAGTTCCTGCAGGACTGCGACGAGCTCGGTGAATGGGTGCAGGAGAAGAATCTCACCGCTCAAGACGACACGTACCGCTCGGCGAAGACCATCCACTCCAAGTGGACCCGCCACCAAGCCTTCGAGGCGGAGATCGCGGCGAACAAGGAGCGCCTGTTCGCCGTCCAGAACGCGGCCGAGGAGCTGATGAAGCAGAAACCCGAGTTCGTAGAGGTGATCTCGCCCAAGATGCACGAGCTGCAGGACCAATTCGAGAACCTGCAGACCACCACCAAGGACAAGGGCGAGCGGCTGTTCGACGCGAACCGCGAGGTGCTCCTGCACCAGACCTGCGACGACATCGACTCGTGGATGAATGAGCTGGAGAAGCAAATCGAGAACACGGACACCGGCACTGATCTGGCATCTGTCAACATTCTAATGCAGAAGCAACAGATGATCGAGACTCAGATGGCCGTCAAGGCGAAGCAGGTCACTGAGCTGGAGACCCAGGCCGAGTACCTGCAGAAGACCGTCCCGGACAAAATGGAGGAGATCAAGGAGAAGAAGAAGACTGTGGAGCAGAGATTCGAGCAGCTCAAAGCGCCTCTGCTGGAGCGCCAGCGCCACCTGGCCAAGAAGAAGGAGGCATTCCAATTCCGTCGCGACGTCGAGGACGAGAAGCTGTGGATACACGAGAAGATGCCCCTGGCCACGAACTCCGACTTCGGTAACTCGCTGTTCAACGTTCAAATGCTCCAGAAGAAGAACCAGTCGCTGAAGACCGAAACGGACAACCACGAGCCTAGGATCCTCACTGTCATTGCCAACGGACAGAAGCTGATTGACGAGGAGCACGAAGACGCGCCCGAGTTCAAGAGGCTGATTGAAGAACTGACCGCGAGATGGCGAGAACTTAAAGGTGAGAACGCGCAATAAAGTGGACGGTTAACAATCATTTATACTTATTACATACATCTAACTTACGAATTGTTCCCACGGGGGAATGCTTTTGCTCTCCATACATTTTTTTTGCTTCAGAAACGTTCCAACGTATTTATGTCAATATACTTGGGTATGTCCCATTCATCCTCTCACTTATACATATCCTCAGATATGAGTTCTATTAATTTCTATTTAACATTGTCGATCGATCGTTTTAGATGCCATCGAAAATCGCAAAAATAACCTGTCGCAATGGGAGAAGGCTCAGCAGTACCTGTTCGACGCCAACGAGGCGGAGGCGTGGATGAGCGAGCAGGAGTTGTACATGATGGTGGAGGACCGCGGCAAGGACGAGATCTCCGCCCAGAACCTGATGAAGAAGCACGAGATCCTGGAGCAGGCGGTGGACGACTACGCCCAGACCATCAGGCAGCTGGGCGAGACGGTGCGTCAGCTGACCAGCGAAGAGCACCCGCTCAGGTAACGGACTGATGATCGTCATGTTTTACTGTATGTGTTGATATTTAGATCGGAGATAACGTAAATAGCTTAAATAGTTAAATCTATTTAGTGTTTTGAGATTTTAAGCGTTTAAAGTCTTTATTTTTACCTTAAAATAAGAATAAGATAATGTTTAGATTATTTAATAGTTTTCGTGGAATTTAAAATAAATATAATTTCTAAAATAAAGGTACCCTAAGTTACTCCTTATTACATCAGCTACCTGCCAGTAAAAGTGCCGTCAAAATCGGTCCAGCCGTTTCAGAGATTAGCCGGAACAAACAGACAGACAGACAGACAAAAATTGTATAAAATGTTATTTTGCTACATGTACCGTGTATATATTATCCTATTTATGTCACTCCAATCTTATTTATCTATATATGTGTCCTTTTGCTCTGGCAGCGAGCAGATATCGGTGAAGCAGTCGCAGGTGGACAAGCTGTACGCGGGGCTGAAGGACCTGGCGGGCGAGCGGCGCGCCAAGCTGGACGAGGCGCTGCGCCTGTTCCAGCTCTCGCGCGAGGTGGACGACCTGGAGCAGTGGATCACCGAGCGCGAGCTGGTGGCCAGCTCGCAGGAGCTCGGCCAGGACTACGACCACGTCACGGTCAGCCTCACCACCTCAATATGCAATATATCTCATCTAACTTCCTCACTCTGTCTTATTTCTTGACTTCGGAATGTTCAGTTTCGAATGAGTAATAAGTTTATTTATAAGTAAGAGGTAATAAAATAATACACATGATAAATTCTCGGTTCAACGGTGTGAATATTGTAAATAAATAGCGAGTGTTAAAACTGAGCGTGGCATCCATATAATGTCAAACGTGAGCGAAACTCCATGTGTAGGACTCTCCACTAAATGGAGTGAAAAAATGTCCAAAAGTCAATGGATGTTGGTAGGTCGGTGGGTCTAATGTTCAGCATTGGACTCGAACGGGCTGAAATTATGATGATGACGAATATTATATGTAATAATTGCACCTACCAATATTTTTCACCATGCCCTGGGTTGACTAAGAGAGAATGCCGTTGCAATCCTTTTGTTTTTAAGTTTATGTTATATGAAATAAATCCATCGGTGGTTGAGCCACGCAGCAGCCACGGCTGTTACACGAATGGGCAGGCTCGCCCGGGTAAGTACCACGACCTCACAGAAGACCAGCGTAAAGTGGAAGTCTAATACTTTCGCGTTTCGTCTGGTGAGTGAGGTAGCCGGAGCCCAATTTCCAAATAGGTTGTCAACGCATCTGCTAAACCTCGGGTATAGCAGATGTCCATCGGTAGCGGGTATTAACATCAGGTGAATCGTCTGCTCGTTTGGCAACTTTTCGACGATAGTAACTTGTTTCGTTGTGTTCGCAGCTGCTGTGGGAGCGCTTCAAGGAGTTCGCGCGCGAGACGCAGTCGGTGGGGTCGGAGCGCGTGGCGACGGCGGAGCGCATCGCCGACCAGATGATCGCGATGGGCCACTCGGACAACGCCACCATCGCGCAGTGGAAGGAGGGCCTCAAGGAGACCTGGCAGGACCTGCTCGAGCTCATCGAGACGCGCACGCAGGTAACCAAGCGACGATTGTTCATTATTGTGGAATGTGGCATAAACGCCGCGTATTTACGCGATTAATCATTTAAAATGATTAATCGAACTTATTTTTACGGTTATTTCGCGTTGTTATTTTAGTGCTTACTTTCTACTTTTTCGAACAATTTATCGTTCATTATCGCAAAAAAAGTTTTATCAACCAATAACATGGTCTAAATAGTTGCAACCGTACCGCGCAGATGCTGGCCGCGTCCCGCGAGCTGCACAAGTACTTCCACGACTGCAAGGACACGCTGCAGCGCGTGAGCGAGAAGGCGCGCGGCGTGAGCGACGAGCTGGGCCGCGACGCCATCAGCGTGGGCGCGCTGCAGCGCAAGCACCACACCTTCATGCAGGACCTCAGCACGCTGCAGCAGCAGGTGCGTGCGCCCTTTGTTCCGCCTCGGGAACAAACACCCACATACGGAACAATTATAAGACGGTCACCCAAATATTTGTTCCGTATGAAAATCGAACCCACAACCGCCGGCACCGAAGACAATGGTTTAGCATTGCACTACCGAGTCATATCTCTCATCACCTATTCTCATATATTCATGATACTATTTTACTCGTGCTAAAAGCTATAACGCTATAATTGTAACCGTTTAAGTGAAAAGCAACAGATGCCTCAGAATTGGGAGAAGTGAGCTCTGTATCTCCATACACCTGGGTGAAATATGAGTGGTTATGTATTAAAATAACCCTCGTATGGCTTCATAATCGTAACACACGTTAGTGTCGACCCAACATCTAGTTTCAGACTTAGCCAAGTTTGTAATATAGGTACTAAGTAGCTGATAGAAATACTTTTCTTTATGTACATTTTATCATAGGTATAAAATTCTATTGTACGGAGATGAAAAATAACTAAAAACTTTGAACCGTATGCAAGTACTCTTTGTGCATGAACAAAGACATTAGACATTACACGGTTGAATGAAATAAGTTGTGATTATACTCAAGAGGACCGTAAGTCCAGCGCTAATAGCAGCGCCGCGCGGCAGGTGGAGGCGATCAGCGGCGAGTGCTCGCGGCTGGGCGCGTCGTACGCGGGCGAGAAGGCGCTGGAGATCACGCGGCGCGAGGCGGAGGTGCGCGAGGCGTGGGCGGCGCTGCAGGCCGCGTGCCACGCGCGCCGCGCCAAGCTCGAGGACGCCGACGACCTCTACCGCTTCCTCAGCCGCGTGCGCACGCTCGCGCTCTGGATGGACGACTGCGTGCGCCAGATGAACACCGGCGAGAAGCCGCGGTGAGTGCACGCGCACACACGCACACGCGCACGCACACACGCACGCACACTTCTAACGCGGACACATTTGATCGAACGGAAATGCTTGGCAATCGTCATTTGTACGATCTAGTTTGTACACATCACACTTAGCGAAGCCCCATTGCAGTGATTGGCAAATAAAGAAATGAAAACAGCATAGATTTTATATAAACAATGATATTATCGGGAAGTTACGCTTATTTGCACGACGCAATACCCGCAACGATTTGTATATTTTATATTGTATTATGCATTTGTATATTTTATGTTTGTTATACATAAAACTAAAAACAAAACATTTACCGAACACCCATATTTTGCTTCACCCACTCACACATCAATTAATATCTTTACACTTAACTCAGATGCTCAACAAAATTTGTATAAAACCGTGTTTTGTTGAACTATATTTAACCTTTTCTTCGTCATCGTCGTACTTCTCATATATAAATTTTATTAATTTGTTCAGACTTCAATTGAGATTTACATCTAAAAGTTTTAAAATAAATCGTCTAATCGCACTCCCACGCGACTACCAAACCGCAAAGCGAGTGCAGCACATACCTAATCTCGTTACAGCGACGTGAGCGGAGTGGAGCTGCTGATGAACAACCACCAGTCGCTGAAGGCGGAGATCGACACGCGCGAGGACAACTTCACCGCGTGCATATCTCTCGGGCGCGAGCTGTTGGCGCGCCAGCACTACGCCTCCGCAGACATCAAGGACAAGCTGCTGCAGCTGACCAACCAGCGCAACGCGCTGCTGCGCCGCTGGGAGGAGCGCTGGGAGAACCTGCAGCTCAGTTAGGACCCTCCGCATACGCTTTAGCACCCCCTCCATATGTGCTTATTGCCTTAATAGGCCGATATGGAAACGTGTAGGCTACAGTTTTTTAATGTGAGAAGATAGTGCACCTGATAAGTGATGGTTAAGTGATGACCCCCGCTCATTGACATTTTGTTGACATTTGCAACAACCGTAGGGTTGGGTATGCGTTGCAAACTTTTGATTAAAGCTATCTCACAGACGATATGCCGGGCTTCTGTGAGATCTTGGTGCTCACCAGGAAGGACCAGCCCATTCGTGCAACAGAGAAGACTTGTATTAATAACGACCAAATACTTTCTTACCGATCGAACTTATCGCATTCATCCAAAAACGCACTTGTTTATTAATGCTGACCCTACTTTCTGTACGTTACATACATCATCTGCCTTGAGCAACAAAGCAAACGTCTTCCATCAACAATGAACCATCGCAATTCCAGTCCTGGAGGTGTACCAGTTCGCGCGCGACGCGGCCGTCGCCGAGGCGTGGCTGATCGCGCAGGAGCCCTACCTCATGTCCCAGGAGCTGGGCCACACCATCGACGAGGTGGAGAGCCTCATCAAGAAGCACGAGGCCTTCGAGAAGTCGGCCGCCGCGCAGGAGGACCGCTTCAGCGCGCTGCAGCGGCTCACCACCGTAAGCCGTCCTGCTCGCACGCACTCCCCCGTCCCGCTCTCGCACAGTTTTGTCCCCGCTTATGGCTCAGTTCAGTTTTGTCTCGAGAGTTAGCTCACTACCGATGTTCAAACGATGGATGTGCGGTTTGCATTTTCACGCAACACTAATAATTAGTAGGTGGTGGGTTTAATGAATAATAAACGCATACAAAGTATTTCTGAAATTATCAATCCTTGCACACGTATTTGATTGTGACGAAAATGTAAATAGCTAATCTGAACTTGCCAGTGTGAATAGTAATTGCATGCAAGAGACGTTTGGAGGTTTTTGGGATAGTTGTGCTGTGTTTATGATTGTGCGGTATTGTATTGGCGTAACACCAAATTGGTAAAGATTGCGGAGAATATTTTGTTCATATTATTTCTAAAATAATGGTACAATTACAAGATTGTATTTTATTTATTTGACCAGGTGGTCCAATATATGAAATATAAGTTTATTTTTTTTATTTTTTATTGAATATTTACCAATAGTACGCAAAATTAATATATTTAAACAAATATTAAAATATCCCTGCCTCAAGTGCCAAGCCTACTCTCTTTAGCATGGTATAACTTCACACGTTTGTATATATACCTAATGTACTTATTTCACTGTGTAGTTGATTGCTCTGCACCGATTGCTTGTTACTTGTTTTATTTTACTTATCAATTGGACTCCATCTAATTTCTTTTTCTAATTCAACACTAGCTTGAACTCAAAGAGGCGACACTGTGGCCTATTGCACAACCTTGGGATAAGTGTGACGAATCTACTTTCCTCTACCAACCTCCACCCGTTTCCCACAAGAAGACTCCACTTAGAATCGCAACACACAAAGAGCAGCCCGTAGGAGAAGTGGTCGAAGCTATTATAAGGGGCAGCGAAAGACATCAGATACCAGAGAAGCTGAAGAAGAAATTGCAAAGCAACTGTCAAGCAAGCAAGGAGGTCTCTAAGAACGATTCGTTCTTATGGTCAGTTGTTACAAATACTAGTCTATCAACGATATCCGAATTTAGCAGTCCACCTATGACGCCGCTGAAATCGCCCCTGTCTCCAGACATATACAGTTCAGTTTTCTTTGAATACACTACCGCCGGCGAGAAACCGAACGACCGCTTTGCCTGCATAGACTTCATACTCTGGGAGAGGCTGTCCTACCAATTTGTGTATCCGAACATTTCGCTGTGCAGACGCAACAGTGGCGCCTCCTCTAAATCCGGCAGCATTAAGCGGATCATACATAGGCTCTCGAAGAAAAAGAGGCCGTCGGACGGTGACAGTAAGGGCGAAATCGCCGTGCTCTCCCTGCCGGGCCTAAGCACCAGTAGTAGAACGGTTAACAGTTTAAACAACGAAGTGAAGAGCATTCCCTTGAGCTCCTCCCTCCTCCTCCTCTCCCAAACCCGGAAACTCCTGTTCCCGGATGGTGCATGGTACTTTAACTACTTGGATTGTGTAAGTCTGATTGTTGGTGTATCGCATGCGACGTGCACGCGGAGCTTTGTAATGTTGCATGTCTTAAATTAATTATTAACTAATATTCTGTCCATTCGCACTTGAGTTAATATAGTTATAGTTACATTTCATTTTAAAACGGCAATTAACGCTACTAATTTTGACTTAACAACTTTTTTTTATCGATTTTCGGTGCTATGAATGAAATAAGTGTTTATTTTAGATGAATCTTTATTCTATTATATTATTGAACATTTGCAGATTAAAAAAAAAGAACTTTCTATTACTGTTAAATTATTTCGATAATTAGATAAACTTGTTACTATGTGCTTAAAAAGTATAAAGCGACTTGTCACACATGGTAGTTTACATTATATGCAACCTCATATAAATTTTATGTTCTCCGTAGTAGGTATATTATTATTATGTTAACTTATACTAACAGTTGTTGCGTTTATCTCATCTTCTGTGACTAATATTAGTCCAATTTCCTATGTCGTCATCTCAATCATATAGCGTTGAATACCTAAATATCTTTTATTTTTAATAAAAAATAATTTTATTATTTTAATAGTTGTTAGTATATTATTTAGGAAGCCTATGGGGAGATTTGTTTAGTTAAAATCGGAAAAAACATTTGCATACTCTTGGATTTTCAGGCATAATAATCAAAGAATGTGTGCATTGTCCGTTAAAATAAATAAAATTGCTTCTTAATTTTTACCGCAAGGAGACGATACTATTATGTAAATGTTAGCGAAGTGCAAAAATCTTTTGCCGATGCAAATATTGCCGCGTCGTTTACACTTCCGTCCGTGTGGCGCAGTTCGAAGTGAAGGAGATGAAGAGGCGGCAAGAGGCGGCCGAGGCGGCGGAGCGCGAGCGGCTCGAGCGCGAGGCGGCCGAGGCGGCGGAGGCGGCGCGCGCCGCGCAGGAGGCGCAGGAGCGCGCCGCCGAGACGGTGGACGCGCCGCAGCCGCACGGTGAGCACGCGCGCCCCCGCGCCACTGGCCCCGCCGGCGACGCGTCGACAAGTTTTATCTCTTCTCTTTTTTTTTTAATCGGATTCTAATGGTGTCTCGTAGCCGGCACGTTGGATCTCTCGAATTCGAATTTCGAATGCTCTCCGGTACATTGACGGGTGCAGAGTATTGTAGTATTTCGAAAACAAAAACAGGCACAGTATAAGTCTGTTGTTTGGTTTGTTTTTTTTTATTAGTAATAATTGGTTAATGTTTATAGAGCACTAAAAATTTATTTATAAATTGGTTATGACAGTACTGACCGTAACTCGATACAAGAAGTTTTATTTTTATTTTTTATTCGTCAAATATTTTAGTTTTATATTTTTTCATATAATGAAAAAGTTACCGGTTATGAAACAGTTAAAATTTAAATGATCCTTATTATTTATAGTAAGGAAAGTAGTAAAGATTTGAAGAATATTACGTTTGAAAACTTGTCTAGCGTCCCGTTAGTAATAAGTAACTAATGTAATAAGTAATTTTATTTAAGTCTTATGTCACCTTTACTCAGTCGATTGTTGAATTTTTTTTAATCTTTGTAACTTCCCCCAATTTAAGAGAGACTTAGAGTAGTAGTTCCACTAGTGCTAACTTCAATTGAAATGTCATGTTTGCAATCGTCCGACCCACTTAATCTTTTGTTTAATAATTAACTTCACTTAATTACTCACAAATTGCAACGTTGGCACAAGCATGTGTTACATATTTACCTCTTCTAGCACCGTATATACCCTCTGTCCGACCTCAATTAACATTAACCGGACATCCCAATGAACTTTCGTCGATTTCCCGGTGAATTAGGCTTGAGAATTTCAATAACCGTTTGTTAAAAGCCTACATTAATTAAAAAATTAAGAGTACTAAACGAGTATATGTTTTGAGAAAGACTGTAGCACTATTCGCACTGCGACCAAGCCACAGTCTTACGGCATCGCTTGCCGCTTCACGTGTACAATTATGAACTGTGTTTTGTTTGCTTACTCGACCGACAAACGAAATAATAAGACGCGCTAACATCGAGCCAGAACATTAACAGGTCACCGCTGTGTCCGTTCAAATATCACGTCGAATTCGCCGGAGCGAAGTGCACGCGAATTTCTCGGAACGACACTGGCTTTGGGGGTCGATAAGGGCGTCATTCGTTTGGCGGTCGGGTGTCGCGTGTTGAGATAAATGGGACGTTACTTACCGATGTGTTGTCCACACATGCACACGCGTAGTCGTAAGGAGAACGTCCACTAAAGCGGCTGAGAAGGCCCAAGAGCGACCGCATTCCCAGCCAGGTAACGAGAGCGCTTGATATGAACCTGCCGATTTGAAACGGTACCCGGCCGAACGCATGAGCTTATAGCGTAGTTTATATATAAATTGACTGGGTGTCGACACGTTTCCGACGGTACACGCCGCTCTCTGTAACCGCTACACGGGGTATAGTTGTGTTTTCTTCACATAGTTATGTTGGAACGTGTGTAGGGTTTTTGCTAAATATTTATTTAATTTTATATGTCGAAATTTTTTACTCTACGTGTATAGACCGCGAGGTATGGCACCGATTTTCTTTACCGTTGCACTACTCTGTACTGTACACGAGTCACATTCATCAACTATTAAATAGGTGGAGGCGACTATCAATTTGTAATCGACTCTTCCATAACACATTTGGGCGTAGAATTATCGATGACTTTGTGATTATCGATACTTTACGCCCTATTTTTATCGCACACAGTCATGTAATATATGCGTTCCATTATATTAGTAACTTTTATTTATATATTCTTCTATATTTTAAATGTATCACGCTAATCACGGTGATGGTTTGATATGTGCGTCTATCCTTTTCACTCTATATGCGCTGTCTCTGTCTTTGGGATACTTTATCGGTTAACGCTATAATTCTGTCACGACTGGGATTGGCTATGATAACGCTATATTAAATTCTAGTGAGATTTCTTTGTTCATTAAGTTCGTAACCAATCCCAGACTAACATCTGGGTCACCAGCGAAGCTATATACTCTATTAAATGTGAGTAGATTTTCCGTTTTTCTATTTCACACGAAGCTGCCTTCACAAAGGTAGGTATTGTTTCTTACTATTTGATTGCCTGTCTACAGCTACATTTTTAGTCTGTCCGCATGGCATCACAGCTGTTTATATGTATCGAAATATATACGTATGTGTCTTCATTGCTCAACTATTCACACATTTTGCTTATACCATTTGTAAAAACCATCAATATCATAAAACTGCAACTGGTAAAATAATTCAATTACAATTGCATAATTCTTTAAACACGATGGGATGAAAAGGGCAATCAATAATCGATAACACATAATAAATATCGGTATTACAATGAAGGGTATCCAAATTTATGAGCTTTCACTTTATAATCAACTTCAATTATAAAACCGACATAATAAAGTGATAGTTTTCCATTAGGGACTAGCTTTATGTGGTTATTGACTGTGTAGTGTAACAAAGCACTTTGTTTATTAATAAATAAACTAGCAAGTAAAACAACAATGTACGCGTAACCAATCACTGTTTGTTGATCACACAAAATAAATTAAGGCATAAAAATCCTGTGCGAGAGTAACACGATCGGACGGATGTGGTTACGCGTAGATGTTCCCCCGTAGCATGTACCGCGTAACGTAGCATGTATGCACGTAGCGTGTAGCCGTAACCTAGCACGTAGATGTACGCATGCAGAAGCCAGTAGCGCCGCCCTCGAAAACGAACCCGAGGCCCCGCCTACGCCCACGCCCACGTCCACGCCCACGCCCACGCCCACCCGCCCAGGACCCTCCCCGCCCATCCACGTCAAAACAGACACCCGCAAAACCTGCACGTCTCTCCAGTAAGTATACGTATGAGTAGTAACAAAGTAGAGGACTGTCCTTTTATGGTGTTCTATTGATACGATACTCGACACGATTCTTTTTTTTTCTTAATCTCTTTAATTACGTACGGGCTGTTTGATTTATGATAGTTTTCATTGCTAAATGAAAAGTCTGAAGCGTTACTGTCCCGTGACCATGAATGATGCATAGCAATCGAAGCATCAGGAATCCTCTATATAAGTATTACATCTCAAAGGTGTTCAATGTCAAATCAATTTTTTTTTAATCAAAAAATATAATAAAAGATTTTTTCACGTTCTCTAGTCCAAACTAAGCAACGCTTATGTTGTGGGTACTAGATATCTGATAGACATTTAAACATACTTTGCAATAAATACAAAATCTGGAAAAACACTATGTTCATCACACACTATTTTTCCAGTGGTGGGGATCGATAAAAACGTAAATATTAAGGTATTTATTTTCTTCTATTGTAAATTGAACAGGCCGTTTTTTAAAAGTATAGTCGTTTATAAAGAACTGAATATCGAATCATATTACACCTTACTTACTTAATTGTTCGTACTAAAACAGGGTTGTGTTAATTATTTAATAATTGACATTTTGTACGTTGCATGAATATTGTTTTTAAACTTATGTGTCTTATTATTTTGTTTTGTTAATTTTGAAATTGTCTTATTGATAAAAAGTGGCATGTTACGCTTTTGTTTTTTTTGCTGCGCCGCAGATTTGTTTTTATGTTGCTTTGAAGTTATTTTTTTCTTTTTCCATCCCTTTATCCATTCCTCGCCTAATTTATTCCCTCTACATTTTCGTTCTACTATTAAAAAAAAATGTTCCAACTTGTTTTCATTACATCTATTCATTTCATCAACGAAATGCCATGTTTCAACTTGTCAATCAAATTTTAAATAAAAAAAATGTACTATTCAAAACATTTTTTATCAACCCCGTCCTAATCGGGCAATGTTTCACTTTCAAAACTCGAATCCCTTACTTAACTCAACGCTCTATGTTGGATTTACCAATGATATTCACGATGTCTCGCACTCCGCTCTCTACGCTTCCGGTCGCTCTGCCGTGGAACGATCTCCGATTCACCCTCGCTTCATTCTCTTACTCTCTCTGTTCCGCTCCATCCGTCTCTCTCTATCACCCCCTCCTGCCCAATCGCGTGGCCTCGCGCCAACCAGCGGGCGGTTCGAGCTCGTCACCGGCGACGCCGTCCACATCGGGTAAGGCGAAGACCCGCTCTAGAAGCAAGTCGCCGTTCAGGAGCTTCCGTTGGCGCACCGCGAAGAAACTTCTCGCCGGATCGCACCACAGCGACGACGAAGGTACACCACCGTGCGACGGATCTTTGCGGACGGAACCCTTTATTATGAGTGCGAGATCGACGCGTATGTTTGTTTCCCTTCGTTGACAAATGAATCGATTCTTACTTTGATCGAGTCTTTCAACTAGACACTTTCTTTTCTCAAATAAGGCTATATTAAGTTGTATTATGTATCTAAATGTTCTTCAGTGTCTTCTTTTTAATGCCACTTTATACTTTAAATACCGTTACTTTTGCCATCCATTTCTCTGATTCTTTCCTCAAGTCATGAATATCCCTCTTCGTCTTTCTTCTATATGAATCATAAAAAGACGTTTTTCTTTTCTTAAATATGGGTATTTTCTTTTTTTAAATTGGCTTCGTGAGCGATAACGGGGGAATCCCCCTCAAACCCCCTCATTCCGTCCGCAACGATCGACCAATATTTAGCGGATGAACGATTTTTGTTGTCGCTTTCAGTGTGCTATTGTGTTGTTTGCGCATGACTTTACCAATATCCCAACAAGTCGCGTCAGTCCAGACGGGACCGCGTGAAAACATTGTATTATGTGTTCTTCAAAAAGGCATCACGTATCAAACCTATCGTCCGTGTTATAAATACGTTATAAATTATTTTACTATTGTGTTTAGTTTTATTTTCTCCACTATGTATTTAGCTAAGTCGTGGCGAAAATCGCAAGTTTGTCAGAGTGACTATAATAATATGTAGCGAAAACGACATCTTTTAAGTTGGATAGTTTGCTATTTCGCCACGATCGAATTTGATCTTAGCCAGATCGTAGCTAATATTTAATTGGTTTGTTTTGTCCGTGATACGTTTTTGTACATCGCGCGGCTGTTGTGCAGAAGGTGCAAGCCCCGCCGGCGAAGACGAGGGCTTCGAGGGTACCCTGATGCGGAAACACGAGTGGGAGTCTGGCACCAAGCGCGCTTCTAACAGGTAGCTATATAACTTTTGCTTATCTCTTTCAATCTTGTGGTGAGAATAAATCGTTATTTTGATAATATTGATCATTCCCGCAGTTATAGATGTATACATGTTTCGTTACATACGTACGTGTTTCGTTAATATGAATTAACTTAAAATAAAGTATAAATAATATTTAGGACACATTTCTATTACACAATGTTCTCTAGTCCCAAACTAAGCAACGCTTGTACTATGAGTACTAGATAACTGATAAACATACTTTTCTTTTATAAATAAATACATATTATAAGTATATAAACACACAGACACTGGAAAAATACTATATGTATCATACAATATTTTTCCAGGTGTGGGTTCGATCCCCACTAGATCAAACCCACCCCTCTGGCGCAATAGGCAGGGTCACAATCCACTACGCCAATCGGGTCGTCGTCGAAAGTAGTTATCCATATTTGACGTACTTATTTAAAAAGAACGCTGTGTAAAAATTTGTCCTAAAATATTTATATAACGCGTTGCATTGATTTATGTTATATATGTAAAATAAACGTTCGGCTTCAATCGGCAGCCGTGGATATTCTGATCGATTTGGACTTTTCGCTCGCGTTCAGGTCGTGGGACAAGGTGTACGCGGTGGCGAAGGACGGGCGCATGAGCTTCTACAAGGACCAGAAGACGTTCAAGGCGGCGCCCGAGCAGCTGTGGCGCGGCGAGCCCCCGCTCGACCTCAACGGCGCCGTCGTCGAGGTGGCCGCCAACTACACCAAGAAGAAGCACGTCTTCCGGCTCAGGTCGGCGCCCACACACGTCCTCTCTCTCCTTCTCTAACTCTTCTACTCCCCCTCCACCCATCTTCCTTAATTTCTCCCTCTCCTCTCTGTTTCCCTGCTTCCCACCTACTCCCTCGCTCATAGTTACAACCGAGCAAACGGTACACTTTTTGGTAAACTATACCTGTTGTACATGTACACTTGAAACATATAATTATGTACATATTTATATTTTCAATTCAGAGGACAAGCTTTCGGACGAACGGAGGCAAAGTGTAAACACTTCTTCACATAGGTCTTTAGCACTGAGGTATCCTTTAGGTGTCAGGATTCATACAGCACGAACTACTAAGTAACTAACATTATTTGAAGTAAATATGGTATTTGAGAAAGTGTAATTGCTGTAAACGAATCACTTCTAAACGGCTGGCAACGCATGTGCAACACTCATGTCCGGGGCGGGCCGTCGCAGGCTGGGCGGCTACGAGCGGTCCATATACTCAAGTGCTCGACTTGCCCTCGCAGGCTACGAACGGTCCATATACTCAAACGCTCGACTTGCCCCCGCAGGCTACGAACGGTCCATATGCTCAAACGCTCGACTTGCCCCCGCAGGCTACGAACGGTCCATATGCTCAAACGCTCGACTTGCCCCCGCAGGCTCGGCAGCGGCGCGGAGTTCCTGCTGCAGGCGCACGACGAGGCGGAGATGGGCGCGTGGCTGGCGGCGCTGGCGGCGCGGCTGGCCGCCCCCGCGGCGCGCTCGCACACGCTGCCCGCGCCCGCCAACGCCGAGCCCAAGCGGCGCTCCTTCTTCACGCTCAAGAAGAAGTCAGTGAACACGCTCTCCTTCCTATACTCGCCCTAACACCGCATCGCCGCATGCATGCACGCCCCCAAGTTAGTCGCACACCTACCGCCCCCGACGACGCTGTCTTCTCTCTTCGCTTTCTTCGGTTAACACTTTTTCTTAATGTGTGGACACTGTCTTACTCAATATCCGCTTTGATCTACTTCAGTGTTCTTTCATTAATTGTGTCACATTCTCTTACTCTTTTCTCTCTTCTCTTCTCTTTCTTGTTCTCCTCTTCGGTTAACACTTTTTCCTAATGTGTGGACAACTTTCTTTCTCAATCTCCGCTTTGATCTACTTCAGGCATTGCCAATTATTCATTGTATCACAATGCCTTCGATATATCTTTTCTTTTTGGCTGTTTAAAGTATTCTTCTGAGTCTTAGTCATGATTACAGTGTGTCATTCTCTTTATTCAACCGAATTTATTCAACCTATTCTGCACCTTCATTTTGAGTTCCCTATTATTATACTATATTTAAATTAGTCAATTCGGTCTCTTTCGTAATATCTTGTTTATATATTGTCTAAAACTTTATTATTAATTATTTAATTTGTTTAATTCATAGCATATAATTTCTACCAGAATATGTATCCTATTTACTAGTTTATATTAATTTTGAAGAAAAGAGGACTTTCTTTGCGTACTCATTCAGTCTTCATTCCTTCGAGTGTCCTCTTATAAATGCACTTAACATTCACAGATGTACCTTTTATTTTATGGCATGCCGAACAATCATACATTTAACATATTTTTTCAATAATGTAATTCTAATAATATGACTTAAATTATAAGCTCACTTTAGGGAATTACAACAAGCTTTTTTTAATTCCTTTTCCTATTTAAATATTTTAAAGAATATATCAACTGAATATAAACGTTTGAATTTTTTCTTTTTGGCACATTAGGGACACATTCTGGGAGTATATTAATTTTAATTATTTTATAATGAGAATATTATATAATATATATAATATAATATATAATACTCTCATAAGAAAATGGTGGTGGAGTATTATTTTCCTTGCTACTGTGGGTATTTGGTTGTTACAATGTAATGGTAAGATTCTGAAATAAAACTAATTTATTGAACTATTTTCATTACAAGACTGTCCCGTTACTGTGGATTCTGAAAATAGTTTGAAACGTTGGGAATTAAAATCTAAATTAAATTCGTCAAAATCCGTAAATTAGTTTTATTTCAACATGTGTATCTGTGGTTAACATACATTATAATGAGATATTAATAATACCTTGAGATTGATTTAATATTTTTTTTAATATTCATTTTTGATGAGTAATGAAAATGAATATTTGATAATATTCTCATTTTTTCACTTTTTATTATGAAAGAACTGTAAATATTTCAAAGTATTAAGGCATTATTTCGACACATTATAGCATTAATTTCTTTGTAATCAAAGAAAATTTCAAATCATTGAATCTGTTTTGATATTAAATGAATAATTTTAATATAATTTTATAGAACTGATCTTTGGATATGAAGTATGTTTAGAGGACAAATAAAAGTGCCCGATTTGAACTATTTACAATAATATTTTCGGCAGTCGATTATAAATTTAGCATACTGTAAAATGTTTATTTTCAATATTGACGTCTTTAAGTACCCTATGTAAAGACTATAATATGCTCGGGCTAGTATTGCTTTCTCTTTCGTGTCGCAGTATAGAGCTCTTTCTGTCTTATTCCCACTATACCCGTTTATCTACGTGGTTATTCTGTTGCGTGATTATAGATTTTTTAAATTGTGATGATACTGCAATTCACGATACTCGCGTTATGTTTAATACCTTGAATGTATCCCATTTTGCTTAATCTATGATCGACTGTTGTTTGGATACATGGAGGATAGAAGTATGGAGACAAAGCTATGTGTATAAAAAGTGTTAAATTGGTGGCGTTACAATTTAAATTAATAGTTATCATGGGTAACTAGTTACTAAAATAAATAAATAAATAAATAAAATTCAACTCAACAAGGTAAATAATAATCATACCCGCTTGCTACATTAGCGCCATTCTGTAGGGTTTCCGAACTGTTATTTGCAGCTGGACACTTGTGCGAGAAAGCGCTCCCTATCTCTACCCTCCATAATTGGATAATTGTAACATTTGTGTCCGTGTCTGAGTAAATGTTGGACGCGTACTGAGTGCGTCCCTTGTGTGTGTGCAGCTGAGCCGGCATCCGCCCCGCGCACGTTTCGCATTAGGCGCCGTCAGAAGGAGGCGGCGCGGATTTCTCACGACGCTTGCCCGCAGTAAGCTTTGCTAATGACGAAATTGTGCCGGAAACCTACCGGCGGGCCGCCGTTGCCCGACACGCCCACGCATTGTTATCGATAATATTATTATTATTATTACTTCTCTTTTGTTGCGTACAAACTTTATTTAAGACTGTTCCACGTTCGTGTGTTTGTAACCGCCCCTCTCCCTCCTCCCCGCCCTAGTATCCCTCCCCTTCGTATTTATTAGCGTGCGTCGTGCTAAACCCAACACGACGCGCCCCCACTATGGCTTCCCCCCTTCCCTTTGTGTAATTGTTGTGACACGAGGCGATCCTCTTTCAATTTTTATTAAATTTAAGAAAATTTGAGAAAATCCTTATTAATGTAAAATTATCGAAGTACATAATTATTATAATAAAAATTCTAAATGCTATGCTATTTATGAATGTACGAGTTTTAGCGTTTAAATTCAGATTGATATCTATTTGATTATTTATAAATATATATGTAATACATATTATGATATACAACAATTATGTATGTAATTGACATAGAGTAAAAATGTAAATTCCATGGAACTAGAAATGTATGACGTTCAACAGTACAATGTTTAATTGATGACCAGAGAAGGTTTTTATTAGATTAACTATTGACCAATAATATGTTTCATTGCTGCGGGATTTTTGAGCATTCGACACGTGACACGGACTGGATGTGGCTGCATTTGCGACGGTCAGTGGCCCAGTGACTCTAACAATGACGACTGCAGACTCGTCAAAGCCACGCGATAACATTACGAGAAAGAATGCAACTTGACCTACGTAACTCTATTAGTGTTAATTTCCTCAATAAAGTGTCTTGTAGAATAAATCCTATGGCGCGGAGGCCGCTCCTCGCGTACGATGTCGCATTTAAATGAGTTTTATCGGAAAACTTTCACATTAGATACTACATTACCGCATACCTGCTAGACTAGTCTGATGCGGCGAGAAGCGGCTTCCGCAATGAGTATTAAATATAACTATTCGCGTGTCTACCGCTTCAGTCGCCTTTCCAGCGCTCGTCGTGTGCGTTAATTATTAAGTTCGCTCTACTGCCAACCGGACTACGTATGTTCGTTTCTCGTTTAAGTATTATTACGTACGTTTTTTTTTTTTAATGAGAATTACACTTAGAATTTACGATCACACATTTTTAGTTCGTCTAACGTAATAAAATACCTTTATTGTATAGTGGCGCTTCGTTTTGTCGCGTGCGGTGCGGTATGCGGCCTAAACTGTTGCACTTGGTGCCAAGTTCTGTGCTTAATTAAAAGCTAACGTCTCACGTATCCCAAATTCAACGCCGTCTCACGTATCCCACCGCACGGATTCAAAGCACCGCGCATCGTATGCCTATGTTTTAATTATTTTATTTTAAAATTTTACTTTTTTTGAGGAAAATATAATAAATGATGTTTTCAAATACATCCGCATTTTTATTTCACATCCTTCTAGAGTTTTTTTGAATTTACAGATCAAATGTTACTTGTAAGTTTACGTCTATTTAGTAGCATATTAAAAGTAAGATGGTATGATATTTAAAGTAAAGATTAATGTTTACCGATGTTTTGAAATAAAATATGTATTTTTACTTTTGAAACTTAAAATGTGATTTTTTGTAAATAAATGAACTAAAACTTAGGAGCTGTGTAATTCGAACCTGCGTCTATCGGGTAACGCGCTCAGACGCTTTAACAACTAAGCTAAGTGGGCGAAGACCTTCACGGTTTGAAAATTTCTATACACATTTAGGAATACTGAGGCTGCATGCTCTAAAGTATGAAGCACTATAAAGAACATTAAACGACTAACATTTGTAACGAGAGATGTCGTCTTGGCTCTTAAAATTTTTAGGATTAATATCTAATTAATATGTATTTTTACTGCTGGTCGCTGCACTCGAGATGAATCATAAAATGCGATATTTTTGTATATAAGTGAATAAAAATTTTCGGTGGTGTGGGATTCGAATTCTTCCAGACGCTAAACCAATTAACCTCAGCGGCCGATAACCTCACGGCGCGAAAAGACCATTATGGAAAAGACCATTTAGCTCTGCCGGTAGTTCGTGCAGAAATAAGTCTTAATTTCGACTAACACCTCAGCAGCTTAGTGAAACATTAATAAAAGATTTATTTAAATTACTTTCAGTCATTATGATCTCTTGTTTTCGGCGTTGATGTATTATTTGGTAAAGCAAGAAAGCAATCGCAGATATAACAATAATAAATAACCCTTTAGATAACAAAAGAAACCTCGCACATTTGAACACCCATATAGATTATTGCTAGTAGAACTGTAAGGACTTAGCGAAAAACATAAATATTTCTGACAAAAAACTGTTTTAGGAAGCAGGAACAGCCATTCTAAAAATTCAGATAAGGATTGTAGTGGGGCATGAATTATCTTACAGCTTTCTAATGTGGGTTACGTTCTTCATTCACAAATCTGTTGGTTCTGTTAAGCAACTGGTAATTTATCACAAGATATGATAATGTCTGTCTTGGCAGTGGCGATAAGTGATTAGCTATATTCTTGGACATAATGAATCTTTTGATATGGTTTTGATACAAATCTTAATACATAAACTAATAATAAAACTATTCTTTTTTTTTCAAGGAACACAATTGTGATTCGAAAATTACCTCAACACAACAATGGCACAACTCTTGCGTAAAACTTGACAACAGCAACATTTATAAATATCCCCAACCGTTCTCGTACGGAGATCATTAGATAAGACTTCAAAAAAGAAGGTTTTTCAATTCGACCGTTTGTATTTTTATTTTTTTTATGTGTGTTCGCTAAGTTATCCACTTCGTCGTTTATGAACCGATTTTGATGTTTATTATTTTAAAGGAGATATCCCAACGGTGGTACCATGATAAGGAAACCCGGATCTGATGATGACATCCTAGAGGAATCTAGGGCAATCCTCAAATGTTATAGTTATCAACAATGTTTTTTAGTTTCCGGCTTGAAGTCGGTTTTTTTTTTGTTGAAAATTATACTTGTTAATGTCCATATATGCCTTTACACTGAAATTTCAAATCAAATTAAATTTATTTTCATATCTAATGCCTAGATTGGCTAAATCCAAGTATCCCATGAGTCAAAACACTTGTCGTTATTCAAATCACTACCACAGTCAAAGTCAAAACTTCTCTACTTTTTTACTTCTTACTACTTACTTTTTATTGAACGTCAAGAGACTGCCACCGGTCCACTAAAATAGACCTGTCCAGAGAATAACCGGCAAGAAACTGCGGTCTTATATTTTTTTAGTGATATAAATATACATAATTATTTAGGTACGAATATAAAGTCAGCAGCACCCATGGGACTTGCAAGTACAAGACTCATTTACAAACATCCTTGTTCTCAATGTTTTCTTCGACACTATAATAGGCCCTTTCGATTAGATTAGCTTTACAAATTGTGTAAAACTTAGGTAGTTGTTTATGGACGTGACCTGTTTCTGGTTTTAGTCTAAGCCTTGGTACGTCCTGAGTGTCAAAACGTATGTTATTACGTACATACATGATGTTCTCGAGAATGTATAGCGTCCGAAGCGTTAAAACTTATTTAAATTACAAAATACCGTAGTGAGTCATATAGCCATGACAGCCTGTATTGCTTGCTTTTTCAAAACAAGCCGAGCAACTAGTGTCTAAGCCGGATGCGGAACCCCAAATTAAAAAAAAGTTACTTGTACGACTTCGCTGAGCGTAACTTTATTGTAACAAAACCGTATCGTATCGAAGTGAATCATGTACCAGCTTCTATGTATGAAGAGACCGATGCAAAAAATAAGTATTAGGTATTACTTATGCATTACACTTGATACGAGTGATGTTCCGGATATCCGTATCCGTATCCGCGGATATCCGTCGAAAAAAAAAGATCTGTATTTTATTCGCTACATTTTTGACGGATCTTTTACGGATATTTACCCTTATAATCGTAATTAAAAACACAGTAACAATTAAAGGAACGGTAAATTTTACTTCAAAAAGAGTAACTTGGCAGTTGTATCCCCCAAAAGTCATGATAAAAAATGAATATGTGCGAGCAATATAAATATAAATATTTTCGTATATATTTTTTACGTTCTAGTCCCAAACTAAGTAACGTTTGTACTATCAGTATTAGAAAACTGATAATCATACTTAAACATACTTTTCTTTTTTAAATAAATACATATTATACATTTATAGACACCCAGACACTGGGAAGACACAAAATCAAGGACGGTGGGTAGACTAATATTGAGATTTTCCTGGATATTAGGTTAAGATCCGTATTCGTATCCGCTGATATTGACGCCAATGATCCGTATCCGCGGATCTACAATTTTAATGATCCGGTACATCACTACTTGATAGGCAAGTGATTGTATCGCGACGCTCCCGTACGTACGCCAAATAGAAATCCACGTGCATATATACGGCGTGTCTTTACAATGGCGACAATAAATGAACACACATATAGAGGATAACTTTTTAAAATTGTATTAAACATTTACATTCCTTAAAATTAAAACCATTTAAATATTGATGTTTACCGAGTTCTTAAATTTTCCAAAACAAAGAATTTAAGAACATACGTATAAAAATGTAACGTAAAGTTCATTTGTAAAGGTCACAAAACATATGAATGGGTTGAATGAATTTAAAAGAGACAAAACATACTGTTAGAAGGAGAGGCCTGTAATGCGTAGCTGTGGCAACTAGTAAAGTCTCTGAATGTATGAATCAGTCAGTTTTAGTTGTATAGGGATGTTACAAATTTTGTTTCTTTTTTACTTAATTAGTTTGCAAAATATTTTTTTAATTATGGATTTTTTAACGTTAATATTTTTTTATGATTATTGGCAAGTAGCGTTAGACGTGAGTTCATTTATTGTCGCGTTTGTAACGACACGCTGTATATTTCAGATATATAAAAGTACTCTTTGCGCACGTGTTTTCTTCAAGTCCATGGGCGGTGGATATCACTTTGCACTAACTTATGCCTTTGCAAGTTGCAACTTTCTTCCCTAAAAAATGGTGGTGATAAATTAGTATCATACCGCCAAATGATATCAATTGTTTTATGTGCTACCATGATTAGAAAACTGTAATTGAATAACACTATAGTTTTAAGTGTTAGTAAAAGTTATTTTGTAGCTAAAATCTCAAGTCCAAATTAGGCTTATCCCGAAGACTTGTTTCCTAGGTCTAATCCTGTATAGGATGGGCTGAGAAAATAGGAAGTGGAACTTACATCGGCTCCATTAGCTGCTGGGCAGCGTCAACACGAATCAAGAACACCCAAATGAATTGATATCAAAACGGATCCCATTTCTGATTTTCTTTCCAAATTTTCAGCTGAGTGAGGACCCCTAAGTAAAGTTAAGACATGTGTACGTACGTCACAGGCGTCATTAGACATCTATTTTAATAATTGCACGTAAGGGGAAGGACAAACCTACGTCTAGCTATCGTCACAGAAGCAGTATACAGTCCAAGAAGTGTTGTTGTTATTCGTTCTTCCGAAAATAAAAAAGAATACATATTTGTTAAAAATACGGATTAGGTAAATTTATTTACAACATACCTACTGTTTACATCAACATTAAAATTTTAGCCGTAAAAGTATTCACTGTTGCATGAATGGGCAGGTCCGACCGGATAAGTACCACGACCTCACAGAAGACCGGCGTAAAGTTTCTACTTGATGTTAAGTGATAACCGCTGCTCATGGACATTTCCAACGCCCGTAGGGTTGCAAATGCGTTGCCACCTTTAAATAAAGTGGGCCCCGGCTACCTCACTCACCAGACTAAACGCAGAAGTCTAATACTTCTACTTGACGCCGGTCTTCTGTGAGGTCGTGGCACTTACCCGGATAGACCTGCCCATTCGTGCAACAGTGTTGCGTGGCCCTACCACCGTAAATAATTACTAAAAGTTTAAAATTTATCCTCTGTATGTATGTTTATCGCGATAGTAGCGCCACGTTGCATATTTAAAAACTAAGTGCCACTTATTTTCAATGCCGCCGCGCTCTCGCAGAGATCTATAAAAGAAAGCATGATTGTTTTATTTATTATCTATATGTAGGTGTTAATAAACATACAGTTTTTTTTACATAGATAAGACATATATACTGAAATTCAGTAGTTGAATACTGAAGGTAAGGGTTAAAAACGTCCAAGTAGCAAATTCCATTTGGTTTATAAAAAATAATTTTAATATTCAACAACTATACGAAAATGGTATTAAAACATTTTGCACTACATCTATTCAAGAATTTATGGGAAAAACAGATAGAAAATTAATGTTTTCCGATGATGGCCATAATCCATAAAAGTAAAATTTAAAATTGTAGTTTAACAAGTATTTTTTAAATATCACGAGTATAGGTAACAAATACATAAAATTTTTCTATCTAGAGTTTAGTTATCATGCGTCGACAACAAGAAATTTCTATCTAAATGGAGAATGGTTAAAATGAAATACCGTTTGTGATATGGGATAAGATCATCACACGTCAAGATAAATATCTTTTCTCACACTCAAAATGTTCCGAACGATTTCTTTACTATATTTCGATCCATGCGTTAGTTATGCTTCAGAGCATAGTGTGAAGTTAATAAAATTGTAGGACCCACAGAAGATGTTTGTGAAAATAATATTTTTCTCATTATGCATTTCCGCAAGAGCATTAGATAACTGTGTGGATATTGACTGTGTTAAAGGTGTGTTAAGTGAAAAGGAGAGAATAATGGGTGGAGATATCACTGAGCCAAATTCTAGGCCGTTTCAAGTGAGTTAAACAAATTTATTTAGATTATAAAATATCTAATTATGACGATAATTTTCTTTGTGCATGGCAGGGCATTGTTTACAATCGGTTGAGAGGTAATTAGTTCAGCGACCTTTACCGTTTGAAATGTATATTTTTTTGAGAGAAAATAGATTAGTTTAAAATCGCAACACTATCTTATCATTATAATTTTTAATTAATCAATTGTTTATCAATATTATTGACGTGCTAATATTTCCAAAAATATTTAAATTTTACTAGGGTAGACGAATTCTAAATCAATGAATATTGACCTTGAGGTCAATGAGGTTTTGCAAATTGTACAAAACACGAAAGATTTTTTTTATTTTTCCACTTTATTTATGTAAAAGGTTATCCTCATAAACACGAGACATAGCTATATCTTAGTATCAAGGGTTCAAGAAACTAATACAACAAAAATGACAGTAATAATGAAAATGCACTCTACGAAGAAATAAAATTGAGTAACATCAAAAAAGAGCACACATATTTAGATTTTTAAATTAAATTACCTAATAAAGTAAATTTAAGTGTAAACGTAAACTAAGCATTACATTTATGAAGGTCGATATTAAGAATTTTTAACAGTTTTAAATAATTGACAACCAGGTTGCTTTGTATCTTCGGGTTGGAACAACGGGTCAGCTGGGCTTTTGCGGCGGCTCCCTTGTCCACAGAGAGTGGGTGCTGACGGCGGCGCATTGCTGCTTCCATGAAGACCGTCAAGTTGACCACGTCCAGGTATTGGAATTGTCGAAAACAAATCGGGTTTTTATGTAATTTAGAAATTTATGGATCACAGAGGTGCCAGCTTCTTGGTATCAGACAGTTTCTTCCATTACCTTCCTAAAATGAAATTTCTAAAATTACTAAATGCCTGGAGTGGAGGTCCAAGAGCTTTTGATGTCGACCTTCCCTACATTCGACCAATAAGATTAACTTATTTGTAATGAGTGCGGCAAATAAAACAATTGCCTTAACTTTATATGTGCATTCGGGCAGAAGATAATACTAGCCATAATTACAACATCATAATTTGTAGAGTATTGTATACTCTTATTAATCAAATATCTAGAATTCAAAAACAAAAACCGCGACCGTGTAGTACGAAATTTTGTGTAAAGGCCAATATCGTGTTGGAATGAAACATTTTTCTACACGTTGCTATAACTCTTGCACAATATAACGTTTTGGTGATTCTCATATTGAATTAAAATCGCTATTGTGTTTATAGATGGTTTCAGAACAAGACAATTCGATTGACGTAGGAATAATTAATCTGGGCCACAATTTTGGTTTACAGAGCGGCACAAGGAACAAACATACATACATATACCGATAAATACATCACCCTCCTTTGCGTCGTGCAGTCGGGTAAAAAATCGTATTTTTGATGTGATGTCGAATTTAAAGACTGTATTTATGTTTTGTGTGGAAGTTAGAAGATCTATTGTAATCTTCTCTTCGTAAACGTGTCACCCTTACGTAGAGTAAAATAACATTATCGTGTGGGAATCGAGCATGTGGGAAACGACACCAGCGCCGAAGTTAATACCTTGGCAACTGCGCCACGGAGTCAGCGAATTAAACGATACCATACGAGTCAAAAGTCGTGTTAACAAGCATATTAGAATCCTAATCTGATCGAGTAACAAGCTAAGTAAGATCGCGTTTTAACATTTGGGACCCGCAGGCGATCCTTGGGGCACACTCGCTGTACGACCGGTACGAGAACGGACGGAGGATCGTCAACGTTGAGGAGATAGTGGTGCACCCCGACTGGGACCCATCCAACTTCGCCAACGACCTGGCGCTCCTGAAGCTCGCCAATGTCATTCAACTCACTGGTAACACTCATTTAGCCTACCTATAACGTCATACGGCCGTTTGTCTCTTAGAAATGGGTCGTCTGTTTCGTAAACCATACCGTATTCAACTCAAATTAACCGGCATTCCATTCTCTACGACTTTCAGAGTTGCGACAAAATAGGAGGAAACTTTGGTTTACTATAACTTATGTTTTACAGTTAAAGCTTCATCAAACGCAGAACTTGTCAGATGGCTAGATGCGACGTGGTAGAACTCCACGTTGGATAGGTCCGCCCATGTTCCCATGCGTGCTTTATCTATGAAAAGGAACGCCACGTTCGGGCCATCGAGGACCGTGGCTCTGATGGCCGTTGATTGTCTTGTCGTTGGCTGGTGGCAGTGAGCACCGCTCTAGAACGCGGGTGTACCTTGTGAACGTTTTGTGTTGGATTCACCGTCCTCGTAATTGAGGAACTAATTGGCTACGTTTCTTAGAACTATATGTTGGTATAGCGGTATGGCGTTGTTAAGGAGGATCCCCAGTGAGTCCGATGTACTTATATCCTCTTCCTTGACCGCTGAGGTCACTGCGCGGGCGACCTTCTTATTATCATTTGATCAATAGGAGTCAGGATCGGAAAAATAAACAACAGACACCAAGGTCATTAACGTATCACACTTATAGGCACGTTTTCGATCATCAGTCATTATTATCTTCTTAAAGTCAGCTTGCAATTGTAGCATTATCGCAATTAACACGAGCCAAAAAAACATAACACAATAACGCTGTCTTGGATTGTATTATCTGCTAAGTAGAGACTATCGTTGGGGACCGATCGTGGAGAAGGTATCAAGAAAAGACATTGTTTGCTTTTTTTCCAAAGTTCGAAGGACAATGAATGGAATGTAATCAGAACAACTTTGATTATTATTTTTACTTTTTTCTAGACATAAAACTAGTTACACTAATTTGTCTTTTTTTTCATTATTAACTGTAGGTTGTTTCGTAAATTAAAGTATACATAGGTACATAATTCTTCCAGAGCTAGTTCTTTAACTTGCTACATACTGGGATATCAAAAACAACAGTGGTGTTTGCTGACCTTCGTAAAGCTGTGGTGCAAAGCCTGACAAGAAAAGTAAAATGTCTCCACCATGTTGCGCAAACTCAAATAAATACAATCTTCTACCAAATAAACAGGATTCTAATGAAAACATAGACGCCTACGGAATAGGAATTATTTTTCCGTAAAGTTCACGCGGGACGTTGTACTTGCATGGCCTATATTTTCGAAAAGTCACAATGTTTAAGAGGATCAAGTGGTTCCAGAAACTGTAACATAGTAAAAAATTATGATGTCGTTACTACAAAGTAACGCAGAATCTCAAGAAAATGACATGGTATTCTGAACATAAATATGATTTTGATTTCAATTTCAGATACGATAGACGTGGTGCGTTTACCTTACCTTAGCATATCTTCGTTTAACTTCGCCGGCATGGGAGCCATCGCGTCTGGATGGGGCATCGCAGCCGATGGTAATTCTTAAAGCATTAAACCCTTGATTTTTCAATAAGCTGACACACTTGCCCGCAAAGCAACACTGTCTATTAAATTATTATTTTTCGGCCGTCTACGTGTCTACGTATTTTTTTGCTGAACTCTTAAGTCTTAAAATATAGAAGGCAGCAAAAAAGGCAAAACTTTTAACGTATTCAATGTCCCCCTTAACCTATAAAACATGATGAGTCAGTATCACACATTGTCAGCTTAACATTTAGCCTAAAAAGCATAGTCCTTTTTTGCAATGCGCATAATTTCATCCTTCGCAACCGCGCGAATGGAATATTAAAGAATGCGGCTCTGACAAAGTAATATTTACGTATAGTAGTAGTATATTTACATATATATATATATATATATATATATATATATATATACAGTGGGCAAACGAACAGGTGATTAACCTGATGTTTAGTGTTGTTTGACATTGAGCGCCGCCCATGGAAATCAACAACACCGAGGAGTTGTAGACACGTTTAACTTTTTAAAAAAGTTACCTCACTCTCCAGGCGAAACGTGAAGTTATAAAACTTCCTCTCCATGCCGATCCTCTCTGAAACTGTGGTACCCCCGGTAAAGCCGCAACATCTGCGTGGTCCTACTATAAGAGATATTTTAATTTATTTCACACCCATTTTTGGTGGTCCATAGGAGTAAGGTTCGTGTCACCGACCCTTCGCGAGAAGATCATGACAGTGATGACTGATCCACTATGCAACTCCTTACACTTTAACCAGCTACCGGAAAATACTGTGTGTGGCTTCAGCATATCTTCCGGCACTTGCAAGGTACTGAAATTAATGAAAAGTATTTTTAAGAAGAGTCTTTTTGAATGGGTATTATTCAGATATAATTTTATCACGAAATTATTGCGAAAGGTTTAGGCGTGCTCTACTATCGTAAAGCTGCCGATTTTTTTAGTTATGGTTGGTCACAATTCACATCCAAAATCATGTATGAGAAGAATAGGAATTTTGGAATAAAACTGGTATAAATTGTAAGTTTTATGTGCATAATTTAATTTCAGGGTGACAACGGTGGCCCTTTTACTATTTTCTACAATGCGACCGAAGAAGTAATTTTGGTAAGGGAATATTTAATATTTTTCCGTTGGAATCTGTAGTTTATTTAAAAACAATAAGGTATCCGTCTGTTTTGTTCATAATTTTCTTTCTATTATCAAACCAGATTATCTATAAAATATATTTTATAATACGATTTCGTAACGGAAAAAGATTATATTGCTCTATAGCGTAGAACCATTTCATTGTGGGGTTGTGACTTTAATTTTTTAAGGCTTTTATGTCCCTTCCTTATTCGCTTTTGTATCTTTGTGCGTGCGATATTGGAGTAAGTTCTTTGATAACAGATCGGCGTTGCATCGTTTGTTGGTGCTGGGGGATGCAGTGATGACCTTCCCTCCGTGTTCACAAGGGTGCAGCGGTACTTACCGTGGATCAGTGAAGTGACCGGCATCACATTGGATTAGCTTCTTTAACTAGCCATAAGTTCGTGAAATGTTTCGTTAATTAAGTATTGTTAAAATATCTGTGAAGAAATAAAATTGCTTACTAATATCACCACTACACAGGGTCAAAAAATTAGGGACCTTCGTTCCTTCGACTATTTTTTTATATGCAAAGTTGCCCAGCGAGCAGACGGTACAGCTGATGTTAAGTGAATACGTCGCCCATGGACATCTGCTAAACCCGTGGGTTTGCAGATGCATTAACAACCTTTTTGGAAACTGGGCTCCGGCTACCTCACTCACCAGACGAAACGCGAAAGTATTATATACTTCCACTTTACGCCGGTCTTCTGTGAGGTCGTGGTACTTACCCGGACTATCCAGCCCATTCGTGCAACAGCCGAGGCTGCTGCGTGGCCCTACCACCGCAATTAATCTGTCTATATTTTTTTCTGTGCTGCCTACCCAATTTTTATATTTGTGTTTGAAATTTAAAAAATATTTAATTTTCAACTAAGAGATTGTCTGCTGTAGCTCAAATTAGATGTGAAGATATCACAATTATATGGTTCACATATTGATTTCTTGTTTTTACGCGAATATTAAACATTGTGCAATGTAACTATTGGTCTGTCCCTTTACTATGAACGCTGGAAAGGGTTCGAAACGTCGAGAATTTAAAAATCTAATTAAACGCGATAAAATCCTTAAAATAGTTTCATTTCACAATTGAATGATTGTAATTTTTTTAAGTGAATTAATAAATAAAGAATAATTAAACCGTATTATTATTTGATCGTGTACTTATAGTTATTCTGTTAAGAGTAGGTAGGTACACCATCATCGGCCATCTTGTGACATTCACCGTCCGTGACCTAACCTTTTTAAGTGTGTTCACGCCAGACTAAATGTAATTTGTTAGTGCCGCACAGCGGCTTCTGCTGTTGCACGAATGGGCAGGCTCTTCCAGGGATGTACCACGGCTTCATAGACGACTGGCGTGAGGTGGAAATACTTTCGCGTTCCGTTTGATGGATGTGGTATCCGGCGCCTACTATTTTAAAGGTTGGCAACGTATCTGCAAGATTACTTTCACTCACTTGATTGCCACCTGCTCGAAACCAAACTATTCTCCCAAAAAAAAAACTAATGTTTCTTCTTCACGACAGATATGGTATTGCTACATGACTCTATCACAGTTAGGATGAAATTGGATTTTGCTTCTTATACTTTCCAGATAAAAAGTATATATTAAGTCAACGGGATTAGAAATTACATCGGTTGTTGTATAATCCATGCCAAATCAAAACGTAAACACCTGCAATTCTCTAATCCAGGAGTAATTAATCCGCATTATAGATAATATTCAAATCCGAGAGTACAATAATTACATTTAAAAATCAGCTATGTTTAATTCGATCAAAAATAATAATCTGGGATTAAATCAGTGGCAATTTCTATCTGCGATTAAAACAATCGTCATATTATAGATAAACAATTGTATATAAGTGGTAGAAGTGCACAGTCTACGCAAGAGCGGTGTAACAATGCATAAGTTTCTGTTGATCGCGTCTGGTCTCCTGACCCTGGCGGCTGCCAGGGCGCCCGTCGGCATGGTGGAGCCCCTGCAGGACTACCACGAGACTGTGGGGATTCCCCTGGCGAGCAGGATCAAGGAGGCAGAGGACGCGATCATGATGGGCTCCAGTCGTATCGAGAGAATCGTCGGCGGTGCCATCGCTCCCACCAACGCTCATCCATACTTGGTGAGATTGGCGACGATGTTCAGAAACATGATACACCCTTAAAATAACAATAAGAATATAAAGTAGGAACTACTTATGAAATATTATTGGATTTTTCAAATTCACCATCACATTTACTCAATTATTTTTATTTTTTGTTGTTTTTAATCACAAAACCGACACAGTTCTGAAGATTAGTAAGCTGAAGTGGCAATGGGCCGGCCATAGCTCGTAAGTGATAACCGGGTAAGAAAGGTTCTCGAGTCTCGGAATGACCATCACGGTGTATTTCGACCCCCACTAGAGGGCAGTGTTACCAACAGTTAAAAAATACTCCTAAAGCTATTCAAAACCCACGAAAATCCCCTAAAATTAAAGTTTTTTGTTTGAATTTATCTCCTTAAAAATCTTCCATTGTAAATGTTTTCTTCCTAAATTTAGTAAGAAAACTCCTAAGTTGGCATCGGTGCTAGACGGAGTGACGACCTGTGCAAATGGTATTATAGATATGAAACTTCGGTCCCGGATATGGAAATGGATATATGGATAATATTATACCCGTTTCGGTTGCGGTTACGGACATGAAATTATTTCGAACTATCCGATACTTTCCGATAGTTCTAGTAAAGGATATTACTTATTATTATTTTTTCGAGTTTGTCCGATTGGCGTGGGGTACGGTGAACCTGCCTCTTGCGATAGAGGGTGTCGGTTCGATCCCCACTACCGGAAAAATATTGTGTGATGAACATAGTGTTTTTACAGTGTTAGTGTCAGGCTGTGGTGTAGTTGAAGTTGCCTAGTTGAAAGTTGTTTAAACAAGCGTAGCTTAGTTTGGGGCTAAAACACGTTAAAAAAACATCGGTTTTTTATTGCATCTTTATTAAAAACTTACAAAATACATTAAGCGACCAGTCGTATATAGACCAATTTCATCTCCGAAATCCGAAATTATTCGAAGCTTTTAATATCGTTTTCGGTTACGGTTACGGATAGATATTTATTTTGGATATCATATTGTTTTGATTACTTTTACGGAGCTATATAATCACTGGTCTCATAGAATACCAGCAAAATCTGTATTTAAATGTTTGCTTCGTCACTGTGTAACTGGGCCGACTATCTTAAATGTAGAAAAGGCAACTATACTAAATATGCGGTATCTGATCATTAAAGATGTGGCGAATCACCTGCTCATTTCTTATCTTTTTTCATTGAAAGGAACATGTTTTAGATTATGGTTCGAAAATACAGTTGATTGATAATTTTTGTTTTGTTCTGTTTTCTTTCAGGCCGGCTTGCTCATCACGTTCTCGAACCACCCCGGCACCTCCGCTTGCGGCTCTTCACTCGTCTCCGCCAACCGGCTGGTGACCGCCGCCCACTGCTGGTTCCACAGCCTTCAAGCCAACCAGTTCGTGGTGGTGCTCGGCTCCGCGTACCTGTTCTTCGGCGGCACCAGGATCGCCACCTCCCAAGTTATCATGCACCCCCAATACAACCCTAGTCTCCTTCTCAACGACGTTGCAATGATATACCTCCCAACGAACGTTTTCTTCTCAAGTAAGTACCTTGGTTAATCTACAGTCTGTTAGTAAGTAAACAACATAAGGTAACAGGTAGTAAAAAAACATAAGAGTTTTTAAGGCATTGTGACAAAACTTATGCTAAACTTGTTTCCTTGGCTGTAAAATGTGCTAATTAACACTTTTGTATTAATCCCATCTCAACCTGCTCCTATAATTGAAATATATTTCAGGGTATATATACCCTATGTGTTATCGAGGAGTAGTATGAAATAGCTTAATAAACATATTTTATGTAATGATTCCGTGTACACTCGAAAACATTAGATTTAGATCAAATCAGACTATTACTGAAATTATCGTGTTTTATTTTGCTTTAAAATTCGTCGTAAACGTTCATTTTTTTTTCCTCCGAAATTACGACGTTAAATCTTTGTTTTTCAGCTGACCATGAACGACATACAAAAATACGTTTCATATTTTTATTAATCGATATACTATTTTTATAGTTCATGATTTTTAATGGGTTAATAAAGCTAATATTATATTAAAACATGTAGAAAAAGCTAACCATTTAAACGTTTACGACATCTTTCAACAGACAGCATCCGGGCCATCGCTCTGCCGAGTGGCAACGAACTGTGGGACAGTTTCAGCGGCCAATGGGCGGTTGCCGCAGGCTATGGGAAGACCAGTGATCGTAAGTTGATCAACATAGGCCTCTGCCACAACTACCACGAAGCACGGTCCTGAACCTGTATTCCAGTTGGGTCGCTTACGAAGATATACTTCATAGAAAACGAAAGATCTCTTCATAGAATACACTAGAAATACCATTGATTTGAAGAAAGTTTTGTAACGGAAACTAATATATGGTATGGTGTTGGGGAAAAGTTTCTTTTTTTTAAGACTAGTTTAAGTAGTAGTTTTTTCTAGTTTAAGCCTCACTATTGCCGCATAGTTGTAGGTGTGGAGTTACCAAGTTTTTTGTTTTATTTGTATTTGTTTTCGTCGATTGTAGTTGATTTTCGAGTTAAAATGAGCTTTGCCTTGTTAACACAGAAGAGTCTAACATCATAAAAAATCTAAAATACCGAAAAAGATCTCAGTTCAATTTTTTAGTGAAAAGAAATTAACGATATCAAGGTCCGCGCGTGGGTAAGGAATAAAATTGTAATAAAAAAGAAAGTGTTTTTTGTCTATAAAAACAAGAAGTTGATAATAATTTAGGGTTAGTAAAAGTAAAGTAACACTATAAACAACACAGCATCATCCAAAAGACATCTCAAAGTGTTCACAATTTCATCGGTGACTAAATGAATGTAAATGCTAACCTAAAAAGTACTCCCGCAGCGCAAAGCCATGGCTTCCGCAGTGCTAAAACAGGTGACGTCACAATCTTCGAACTTTCCAGAGCAAGTCGGCGTGTCGGTGAACACGATGGTGAGCCACGTGCAGCTCCAGGTCATCACCGTGGCCCAGTGCCAGGCGGTGTTCGGTTTCTGGGCGCAGCCGAGCAACATCTGCACCAGCGGCACAGGCGGCGTCGGCATCTGCAGCGGGGACTCCGGTGGGCCCCTGGTCATCCATCGCAACGGGCGCAATATACTGGTGAGCTCAATACACGTTGGATGTGTGGAAATGACGCTTGCTCTGCACTTGCAAGTGCTGCTGCTAATTTTATAAGTACTTAAAAACTTTTGTTTACTTACATAATTGAAAAAACCGCCCAAGTGTGAGTCGGACTCGTCTGTTTATCATGAAATACAGCCTGGTGACAGACGGACAGACAGACAGCGGAGTCATTTTAATAGGGGATACCCTTTGGGTACGAAACCCTAAAAAAAGAAAAAAAAATATATGCGCCGCAGAGTTTCTTGCCGGTTCTTCTCTGGGCAGACCTAGTTTAGTGAACCGGTGGTAGTTTTATTGACTAAAGAAATTTTGACTTGACTTTGACTTTGACATTATACAGCTCAGGATCGTGATCCGGGCAGTCTGTGGGAAAGGTTCATGTTCAGCAATGGACTTAAATAAGCTGAAAATGAATACTGGGCTTCTGATATTCAAGATCATTGTTGAATACGGTTGCATATGTATCAAGGGCCTAACATTTGAGGTGTATTATTTATCTATCAGCTGTATATTCCTTTTTGATGTACTTTTTAAACTTTCTAAGGTTAGTATCAACTTTATGTTGAAATGAAGAAAGATGGGTAAGTAAAGATTAAAGATATTTAGATTGTAGACCATGTCAAGTGATTATCTACTTCGTAAATCATCTTTCGAATAACTTTAGTGTAAAGCGAAAGATTTCTTGCTTTTATTATCTACATTATTACATTAACACCAGCTGGCACGAGTTTTTCGATTTAAAACGACCTATCCATGATTTTTATCGACTTCAGATGAAAAGTTCGAGCAAAAACGCGTGGATACATGCGCATTTTACTCGTAGAACCCTAACCACTTAATGCGTTGTCTGTGCGTTAATGCTAATTAAGACTGAGGGTATCATCAAACAAAGGCGGTACCCGCTAAAATATTTCTGTTCTTCCAGGTTGGCATAAGCTCCTTCGTAGCCTCGGCCGGCTGCGAGCTTGGTCACCCTTCGGCCTTCGCAAGAATTACCAGCTTCCACAGTTTCATCACCCAACACATGTAAACGCGCGCGGCAAGGAATATGAAATAAACTGAACTATTCGGACTGTGTCGTTAACGAAAAGGGATACACATCTGTTTAAAGATTTGTAACTGTTCATTTATTTTATCTCATTATTTTAAGATTAATATACCTTTAAACTATCAGAAATTTTAATTGTCACGCTCGGATGATAAAAACGAAAATAAACCATTACAAGAAACTTAAGTTACGTGATATGGTTCGATGCGATAATTGAAAATCTAAGAAACTTATGATGAATATAAATATAAATCTATTAAACGTAGTAATATTTTTGTTAACGCCCATCACCTTCGATCAGCTTAAATTATTTGTTGGTATATAAATTAATTACAGTATTGACAAATACTGATTTTTCACAATATTTTTTTGTAAGTTGGTGCTTATTACTTGGTTAGGTTCTACTAAGCAATTACTGAGTCATACTGTAGAAATGACTGAACCAATTTTAATTTGATGACGGGAATTGCTTTTAAAATGCCTGAGAAGTTCTATTATTTTGAACTATACTGAGGGGTTCTATTATTGAATATAACATATTTTAAGTTATTTTACATGATATGTAATAATTACTAATCATTATATTACATAGACCGTCGCAAAGGGTTTAACAATTTTTGTAAACATATGGTGTTATTTTTGATAAAACTCAATTACTGACCGCTCCAATATTATATATCTGTCATATTGTATATCTGAAACCGTAGTTTGCTGTACACAGATATGTTTTGCCAGAAAAGCAAAATTCGTAAATTTTTGATGTGATATCGGTATCATTTTTATAGCAATAAAAATAATCTAAAAGTTATCGGCATACATATTATAATCAATACAAAATCCAAATTTATTATCAAATGTTAACGGTAAATTATCTAAAACTTATATGACATTATCGTAGGTATGCCATATCTGGTATTAAATCAGAGAATACTACTTTGCCTAATATTCACAGATTATAAAGATAAAAAGTATAATTCCATTCAATTTAGGTGCTCAATTAGTCGCCATTTTCATGACACCTTTGCGTTATATTTTTTTTATTGATTCCGCATCGATTTCGTGCGGATGTATCGTTGGTGAGGATGCAGATTATAGCACAGATCGCAAAAAGAAAGAAATTGATTACGGCAAAACTTGCGCGAGCCGTACACACGTGCTCACTGACTAATTGGAGCGAAAATTTTGCAACGAAACACAAGTTTTCAACAACAGTGACTGAGGAAAATGATGAGTCGATTCGGGTTCTATTTATTTCGAATAGGCTATAAATGAGAATGACATAATATTAACTAAAATATTATTATGGCATCGTGTCTCGAATTGAAAGCGAGCTGATATTTTCGACATAATAACAACACATTGAAATACACACACGTATTACTAGACACACATATTAATAATAATTATGTGAAGTCCGCCAATCCGCAGTGTGGCTGCATGGTGGACTATTCCCGATACGCACTGTAAATAGGAGGCCTTTGCCCAGCTGTGGGACATATATAGGCTTTACCTTACTTTTAATTTAAAAAGTGAAGTTTAAAAAAAGCATCCCATTGATCACTCTGACCCAATTCTGTATACTGTATTCGATTCATCTTCAATCTTCGTTAATATGTAAATTCAGTGGCTATAAGTGCGTTGCTGTCATGTGTGCTGACGATGACGATGACGATTTTTTTATGTGAAAAGTTGGCAATCGAGCAGGCGGTTCACCTGATGGTAAGTGATTAGCTCTGCCCATGGACGTCTACAACACCAGTAAAAAAGTAGGCCCTGGTTACCTCACTCATCAGACGTAACGCGAAAGTATAATTCTTCCACTTCATGCCGGTCTTCTGCGAGGCCGCGGTACTTGCCCAGACGAGCCTGCCCATACGAGCAACAGCCAAACCTGCTGCGTGGCACACACAGTAAAACTGATCTAGGGCATCGTATTATTTCGAAATGTAAGCTGAAACCTTTGCAGACCCTGGCAATAGCCGGGATTTATGCCAGGCAGAAAAAGTAACCTGAAACCTTTGTGATCTCTAAGCCCTTATTTTCGTTTATGAGATGATTAATTTTAATCGATTATTGCTGCCTATGAACTTATACAAATCGTATATAAATAAATAAAATATTATGAGAAATGGTTATGAAACTCGATAGCCGAAAGGCAAAAAAATTAAATGTAAATAGGTTTTCTAATGATTTATGGGTTAGGTATAAATTAATAAGAAACATTTGATTCAAGCTCTTTTATTTTTGACAAGTCAGGTACCAATTCCATGATTGACCTCATAGTCAGATGTCGACATAAAAGCTTGCTCAAATACTATTACGCTAGGGTAACAAAGCACGCAGTGCTATGTCACTTTTCCACAGACACTATGTATTTAGAAATATCGATTACTTACTATTTTACTTTTATAAACTTGATACATTTAAATTGTTAAAGTATCTAAAAGTGATTTCTCTGAGTATTTAGATACAACAAATAATGTTTAACTACACAAAAGTTAAAATGTGCGACTTAAGCTTTCACATGAATGATATAATCTTTCTTCAACCGCATTTTGATATACAATACGAATTTTTAAAATCACAACAGCAATTTAAAATATAATATCATGTGATTAATTTTTTTTCTTATTTTTTTATTCATAAAATTCGCTGCCAGTTTCCGAAGCAACAACAAATTTATGACTACGAAATAATGCGACTAGAGAAAACCTTAATTTTTTTACCCTACATCTAGTTTATGGTGCCCACGAGTAGTGAAATGCTACAATATGAATATGAAAATAATAAAAATCGATTTATTAAAAACATTAATTGCGGCAATTCTAAAAAAGTTTTACTTCATTCGATGTTCCCGTAAAAGAAAATAAAAATGACAAGATTTCAAAACGCAAGGACCTTGGTATGACGATTTTTGCCAGATATTATTAAACAAGGTCCGTTAAAACTAAACAATTATCTAAAATTAAGAAGCTGACATTAAAAACTATTTACAGGCCTCCCCTTCAGTGTTATCCTATAATAATAAACTTCACTAAAATTGAACCCTGAAGTGACAATTCCGGTTTAATTTTTAAAATTATTATTTACATCACACAATGCCAAACATACAGACAGACAATAAGAGGGGAAAATATATAATTTGTATTTCTTAATAAATACGTATTACATTACTGTTTATCAACGAAAACATGAAATAATGTAAACCTAAAAGGAAGCATTAATTAACAAACTACCATAATACGATATCACAGTTCATTTATGCAAAAAGTAATTAAAGATTTGATTTCACTTAAAACGTTAAAAAACTGATATAAGTAAAAAATAACAAAAGTAATGGCAATATCGAAATTAACGGCATTATGAACGGTTAACTATTGCTGGGAGAGTGTACGGTGCTTAATATTTGCTTAACATTTATTTTGCAAATTGAAATGGGCCTATTTTCTGTATAGAGTATTCCATGAATATAAATGCAGAGGCATTTGTTTATGAATTCAATCGTTCAACATTCATTTGTTAATAAGTAGCGTAAGTAAAATATTGAAAAGTATTTTTAATTAAATTCGAAATCAATTCAAAATAAGCACCGATAAAAATAAATTAAATTCTGACAATAGCCCACAATTACCTCACTTTACTACCGTCATGCCGTTATTAAAATGTTATTTCCCTTAACTTGGCATCCATCGATTCTGTTAGCACCTATAAAAAATTGCGAGACATTAAAGAACCCGCAAACTTTTTTAGAGACGCCATTTTGGAAAATACTCGAATGATATTGAAGACTCACACTTAGACCATAAACAAATATCCATTGCACTTATTTTCGCGGTACGCTTAAAACTGTAATATTTGATATGAAATGAAAAACAATTTGTGTACGTTAAAAAATGTGCTAACGTCGTTAAGTGTACATATTTATGATGTGACCGGAGAATTGGCTAGAAGTTCCAACTGTTTATGTGGGACAGAGCACCTTCAGGATGTAATCCGTTAACAGAGTGGGCACCGTAGGGCTGTCTTCATTGATTGCCTTCAGTACTGTAAAAGAAGAAAAAAGAAATGATTTCAAAGCCGCATTGACGACCAAAGTTTTGTGACAAAGTGGTTTGGAAAAGACTGTTTGAATTGGCAACACTGATCAATGTTCTCTTGGAAACGACGTGGCTTTAGAGCAATAACGGAGTGTACAGTGGTTAATCGATAAGGCAATTTATCACCATTTCGCCATTTTACTGATGAATCATATAAAATAAATTATACACAATTTATTAAGTTAATGATGATCAAATTTATACTAAACTATTGTTCGTCAAGTGGTTGAAATTCAACTTTAAAGATTATTGAATTTTTATATTAGTTACACTGAATCTCGTCAATGGCTGCAAAGCATCAACAAAATGTCTTGTCCACCGACACCGAAAATAACACCATACGGAGTGTTTTATTGATAAGGCCATTTCACTCATAAATTCACTAAAATAAATTATATAAAATTTATTAAAATCGGTCGAAAAATAGAGAGAAAAACACCGAAAATTCTACTTACTCTTGATCAGCACTTGTAGCGTCTGGTTGTCTGGCGGTCCGTTATCAAGGTGGAACGGTATCACGGTCGTCAAGTACTGGAATATAGTACGAGGAAGAAATTAGAATTATTCTTATATGTCAGCAATGAAACGGTGTACATAAAGAACTGCATATGGAGTATTTTACTTTGCTCAATGTAAAAACAAAAATAACTAATTAATTAAAAGCATCATCATCATTGTCCTCCTGCCCTTATCCCTAACTTACAACGTAAGCGGTTTTGGCCATATTTTTTACGACCTGCCGCCTGCCTGACGTCAACCCTCGTTGGGAAACAAACACACAGATCCGGAACTATTATCTGCGGGTCACACAAAATACTTGTTCCGTGTGGGAATCGAACCCACGACCCCGACGCCGAAGCCAATACATGGGCAACGGCTCCAACGAGTTGGGAAAAAGTACAAGGCCGTGGTCCTACCACGCAACAGTGTTCACTGTATGGGCAGTTCCGTCCAGGTAATTACCACGATCCACAGAGGTACGACGTAAAGTAGAAGGGTTACACTTCTGCGTTTCGTCTAGTCAGTGAGGTAGCCGGGGCCCACTTTATTAAAAGGTGGAAACGCATTTGCAACCCCACGGGTGTTGCAAATGTCCCTGGGCGTTGGTTGTCACTTAACATCAGGTGAACCACCAGCTCGTTTGCCGAAAAATAGAGAGAAAAACACCGAAAATTCTACTTACTCTTGATCAGCACTTGTAGCGTCTGGTTGTCTGGCGGTCCGTTATCAAGGTGGAACGGTATCACGGTCGTCAAGTACTGGAATATAGTACGAGGAAGAAATTAGAATTATTCTTATATGTCAGCAATGAAACGGTGTACATAAAGAACTGCATATGGAGTATTTTACTTTGCTCAATGTAAAAACAAAAATAACTAATTAATTAAAAGCATCATCATCATTGTCCTCCTGCCCTTATCCCTAACTTACAACGTAAGCGGTTTTGGCCATATTTTTTACGACCTGCCGCCTGCCTGACGTCAACCCTCGTTGGGAAACAAACACACAGATCCGGAACTATTATCTGCGGGTCACACAAAATACTTGTTCCGTGTGGGAATCGAACCCACGACCCCGACGCCGAAGCCAATACATGGGCAACGGCTCCAACGAGTTGGGAAAAAGTACAAGGCCGTGGTCCTACCACGCAACAGTGTTCACTGTATGGGCAGTTCCGTCCAGGTAATTACCACGATCCACAGAGGTACGACGTAAAGTAGAAGGGTTACACTTCTGCGTTTCGTCTAGTCAGTGAGGTAGCCGGGGCCCACTTTATTAAAAGGTGGAAACGCATTTGCAACCCCACGGGTGTTGCAAATGTCCATGGGCGTTGGTTGTCACTTAACATCAGGTGAACCACCAGCTCGTTTGCCACTTCATCACATTACAAAAAACCCTTTAAAAAGCCGCACCTTCGGCTCCGAATGGCTGGCGTTCAGATTGGGCGATCTCGGCGGGCCCGGTCTCTTCTTCTTCTCTATGTGGTGCTGCCTGCGCTTGTTCTGAACGGCTAGCAGCAGCGATATGAAGGTGTTCTTCAGCTCCTTCTCGTACTCCAGTTCGTCGCGCAGCGCCAGCTCGGCTATCAGCGTCTCGGAGAACTCCCGGATGAGCACCTCCAACTCCATGAAGATCTCGTTCAGCTGCGCCAGCGAAAGCTGTCGGAGCTCTGTGGAAAAGGAACGCAACGTTAACGCCCTACAAAAGTAATAAACTATGTAAACAGAAACAAGTTACTTTTTATTTTATTTCTAGTAATTAATCAGATCCAAGACACCCCCCCCCCCCCCCCACTCTCCACTTTAACAGTCAGTCTGAAAACTTCGCTACCGCTTTAGCAAGATTTAATAATAATGTACACACCTATAATTAGTAACCTTTAATAATTATGATTCCTGACTTCAAGGGTTTGCTCCAAGAAAACTGTCATTACGGTTAAGCTTGCGTTTGTTCTTGTTACTGTTATTTTTGTTTTATGTTGTGTGTACAATAAAGGAAAAAAGTTATCAAAAATCATAAAATGCAGCTAGCGCGTCCTTGGCACCATACCGAGTGGATTAGGTTTTATTTTTTATTTTTTTTAACATTGCCCTTCCTTTAGGAGATCATTATCCTGTGTTGTAAGGTTTATTAGATAATATTCAATTTTAGATAGATTTAATCTTGTAAACATTAGATAAAAGTTATATTTAAAAAATATAAATTAAATTTAATCTATATAAACAAATAAATCATAAAATATAAGTTTCATTATTTAAACGCTTTGTTTTATTAACCATTAATTATGATCCAAGATTAATTCATAAATTACAAGTTAATAACTATGAAGTATTATACAAAAGCAATATAAACAAATCATGGATAAATTTCTCCGCGTTTTGCGTACAATAGATCATCTCCGTTGCGAATTCGCATCACGGAGGTGAATGTACCCTGAGCAAAAAATGTAAACAAAAGTCGAGTTATTGCAGGCGTGGCTGGTGTTTTCAACGAAATAAGCGCGGTAAGACTGATCGCGTGATAAGATAATGTTCGATTTCATTCGTCTATTGGTAGGAATGATTTGAAGCGGGAACCGGTGTTTATTCGGACCCAGATTTATAAATTATAAACGACTAAGGTAGAAAACACTGTACTTTAAAATGATGTTCATACCATACTTTACATAGATGACTCTGTGCCGCAGTTGCCTGGCTTCACCGGAGTCGTGGCTTTGATTCCCAAACAAGGCATATGCGTTACTCACTCATAATTGTTTTGGATTTAGGCGTTTGTCCACGTGAAAATTATGTATTTAAAATGTCCTTACAACTCAGGATAATGCTCTCCTACAGTACAGGGGCAACGCTATCGAAGGAAACTACTATAGATTCTTCTAGAATAGTTCCTCGTTTCTAGAATAGTTAATAGAAACTACTATAGATTCTTCTAGGTCACTGTGGTTGTTGGGACTTACAAGCCAACCCCTTCCACACAAAATGCTTTGATAAAGCTCGATTTTCACTTCTAAATGAGGCTGTCGACTCCTTGCGAGTTAACGATATGGCTATGCATAAGTAAAAAATCTTTAAGAGAGCGTTCAACATTAAAATCAAAGGTATCTGAGGCGGTAAAAGCGATTACTGTCGAGAAGGCCGTTGCGTAATTTCTACAAATCCGAAGATTTACTGTTTGTTGGGTTGCGCAGTAATGTGGATTGTCCAGTACGATTAACTCGTCGGCCGTAGCTAGCCTTAAATGGCGAACGGATTCGTTCTCCATTCTCACGCTGTGAGAGCTTTTTGCTACGCTTCATTTCGCGGCTATCCTATTAAACGGCCTATAAGGCTCGCATTAAATATAACGTCTAATCTTTAAGGTTAAATTCGCTAAAGTTGTGAGAATTTATCGCGTTAATGTTAGTCCGGATATGGCTTCAATTTGCAATTGTTTCGGTCATGATGGTCGATATTCCGTCATCACTGAAAAAAGTTTTGTCGTCGAAAGCCGTGGGGGTTTTAATATTACTTTTTCGTTCTTTATTAGGTCTTAATGATTTTCTGGTTTCGCAGACTGCGCTAGCTTAGCAAGGTTTCAAATCAAAATCAAAATCATTTTTTTCGACAGTAATTTTTTTCGACAGTAATTTTTTTAATCTACATATATACGCTATAGGATAATGTACATGTACAAGAATATTGGAGCACCGTGACATTAATACTTTAATGTGCCTCAAACATGGCCCGCGATGGACTCTAACGGACTAACGACCCCAAGTAGACGTCTTAAAAATTAAATATTAGCGCGGTTAATCTGAAAAGCATATTAACAAGATTGTATTCGACAACGAATTTAATGTAACTTTTCCAGCTAAAGTTAAAGATAATTTGAAATATTAAATTGATGTTACAGTGCTTAGTGCTAGTTGCATAAAGTAAATCGAGTAACTTTACTACGGTGTTAATCGAGCATACATTAATCACACCGTAAAGTGACAGTTTCCAATTTACATATCTTTATATATATCATTCTTCTATATGAGTATATGTCACTGAACTCCTAAGCGGCTGGACCGACTTTAGTGAAATTTTTTGTGTGTCTTCAGGTGGATTCGAGAATGGTTTAGATTCACAAAGTTATTCAAAAAGTTTGAAATTTAAGACATGTGTACAGGACAACGTCGACAACGTCTACAACGTCCGGTCCGCTAGTTAACATGTAAAATGAACTCACTGTCTTCGTAAAGCGGCGAGTTGAGGACTTCCTTGCCTTTTTCCAAAGCCTCATTGTACTCCAGTATATCACCTTCGGAAGACGGAGTCTCTTGCATCATGTCGTCTATTTCCTGGATGACCTGGAATAAATTTCATTAATAAAAATAACAAGAGTTCCTAGTATAACATGGAACAATTTAACAGGAGCAGTTTGACAATACTCGGCATTTTTGCAAGTCTAAAGGAAACAACACAGTTTATTTCAGTTCTCTAAACACAAGATAAGTTGATGATGATTGAGCTATTGTCAGATGAGGTTTTACTAACTGTCAATTATGGAGCGAAAAGAAAAGTTGCCAATTCTTGTAATAAAACCAATATTTACCGTTATTGGAGTGTATCCCTTCCTAGACTCTAAAACTTAAGTTATAGAATTGAAACTTCATTTTATGAGATCTTTATGCAATTTTTTATTAAAAATTGTGTTTTGTTATTTACTAATAATATGGTAGAAACTGCACTAAATCAGTCAGTGCCATCAGTATATTATAATCCTAGACGATAATCCTAGAAAACCATTTAAATTATTACCTCATCTGCGGTCTTCACTGGGCATTCGTGATCCTGGTGCAAGCCGCCCAGGATGAGCGCGTGCATGTCAAGGTCTGAGGCCACGGCCTACGTCCTCTGAACTGTGGATCTCGTCGTCCGGAGTCATGGCGCTCTGGAGCAATCGAAAGGGAACCTTAATGTAGGCACAACAGAACATAAAATCGTCTAATCAAAGAGAGCGAGTGTTATCCGGATGGTAAGCATTTCCTATGCCACCTTTAGGGAGTTGATAACCATAATAAGGTTAAAGTAAAATTAATTTTGCGTAAGTGCGTTTTGTAGTTGGGATCTGAAACTATCGTTTTAATTAACATATTTATGAGCCTTTCTTGTGTTCTGTAAATAAGTCACACGCAAAAAAAGTATTTACCATATGAAGCTTAACACTTTCCCATTTTAAAACGATTTTTTTACATTGATCAAAGTTAGTTGTACAGATTAAACTATACCACCACATTTTTAATTGTCCTAATCACGATACCATACAAATTGTTATATTTTATATTTCATATGGATATTTTAGAATGGATCTTAGGTGCAAAAACACTGTTCGAGCTTTAAGGGTCTCCTGATTCATAAGTTCTATTACCTACGCAGTAACAACTACATTTTATTAACAAAACAAACTTCAAATATACCGCTCTCTTTAAATTATCTATTGGATTTTGGGGAGTTCCTTGATGTATCTCTGGAGTCCAAGCTTTTTGCAAGCAATGCAAAAAGCAAGCAATTTTAAATATTAGTATTATCGCCATTAAAGTCAATATCAATGCAATGCATATGCATAATGCATAAAAATAACTTTTAAAATCGGTTCATGTATAACAGATGTGATGTAAGCAAATATAAACATTAGAAACGAATTTAGAACATTCTCCTTTTTTGAAGTCGGTTGATAATAGGCCGCAATCCCACAGACCGTGCTCCGCTGAGGCCATCCTAGTTTTCGCATTGTGTTGCGTTACGTAAAATAAAACCGAAACCTGAATTAAGCGACGCTATTCAGCGAATTAAATGCTTATTAACATTTATTCGGTGTCGAGTGGCCAAAGTCACATTGAGAGCGTGACGAGCCCATTGCTTAGGGCTGCAACACACTGGCGTAAAAAGGTTCCAAAGGACTGTACTTTGTAAAAATCATAACTTATAAATAAAATGCTCATAAGGATTAGCGTCCAGTTCCATTGCCATTAAACAGATGCTTTTTGGGACAAGATAAGCTTTAAAAGAGTTATTTACCAATTTGTTTAAGTATTTAAATAAACTCACTACCAAATCCAGTCTCTTAATTCAAAAAAGGCTTGTCCATAGCTCTTACGAATGAAAAAAATATCAATTTAATTGACATTAGTGTTTTTCATAATTGATTGTTGGTGTTCATTCACATGATAATTTTTTCTTTCTTTTCCTACGAATGTTTAGAGTAAAGAGGGAAAAGTTAGTCGCCGGTTCTCGGTCTGCCTCCTTCCTTACATTTGTAAATGCCAAAAGTTCAAGCACGTTTTTAAAGAGCCGTGATAGCTCAGTGTCCGGGCGCTCGCCTTTAATTCAATATACTCAAGCAATCCGAGTTTGATCCCCGGTGCCGGCACCAATGTTATTCGTATAAGCAGTCAATATCTATTATCTATTGCTCAGAAAAGCTTAAAGCTTACTTTTTATTCGAACCTCTGTCCGTCTACGTTACGTCACAGTTTATTTGTTTAAGATTAGCGCGGAATGAATAACGTGTTTATATATTTACATAAGATACGAGTAAGTTGTTAACCCATCGTCTATCTAAACTAACACACGAATATTTGCATATTTTAAGCCGTTAATCGTTTGTTTATTCCTAATGAAATTAAAAAGCTGATCATAGACAAACCTTTTTGTCGCTTAGGTTTAGTGTAGGGATGTGCATTTTCCTCGAGAACGACTTAGTCCAATCAATCGGGAGGATGTTTCCGAAGTTGCCAGTGATTGTCCACCACATCCTGAAAGAAAAAAGTAAATAACAGCTTTAATTATAGATGGAGAAATTATTTCGTGTTGTAAAATTTGGATGTAACTGAAAAGTAAGTTTTCTTTTGCAGCCATATGAATTGTATTTTCATAGTTTAGTTTTCTCTTTGGCGAAAACATGTGGGGATAGATCATTACCATAAAACTTCATTAACTATAACCATTACAGTTTTCCAAATTCACTGTAAAATCTGCTACTCACAAATTTGGGGAATAAAGTAAAGGAAATATGTGATAGAGTCGTGTTAATAGTATATATAATGTAATAGTATATAAAACGAAACGTAAATAATATTTTAAGAAAATATTATTATTATAAATACATTCGATTAAGATTTTAGTAATAAAGTAATAATCATAATGATAACAGTGAAGAATATTTGCTGGATAGGCGTTGTTGATGATGAAGGTATGGAAAAAAAACAAAATATTCAGTATTGTATGAAAGTATAAACTGTTAAATGATAATTTTTAATTTAATTTTTATTCCACATACTAAGACTTTACTAAAGAGCCTGGGGTGGAATAGGATGTCTCCCGTATCATTCAAATGGTTGTGAAACTGTTGTATTATCTACGGCGTGAAATAAATACAGCGAAGATTTGAAGAATTTTCTTCAAATTTCTATTTAGCTTCATTTTCTCTTCATGATTTCGCTCAGGTTCTAAACAGCTTAATTTTTTTTCTATGTTTTAATTAAAAAATGACCGATTTGTGCGTCGATAAAGTGCCGCCGTTTGTATGAAATCGTTTCCCACTCTACGGATAATGTCATAAAACCAAAATAGAGTCGGACTCAGGAAGAGCATGACGAATTTAAGAATATATCTGTGTCGTTGTTTAGTGTCTAAGCTCTCTCAAAAATTCTCCCACCTCGAATTCGAGTCTAAGTCGAATAATGTGGTAATAAACGCTTCGATAGTGGCAGTCGGATTGATAGTTGATGGTAACTATAGACGTATAAAATAGACGGATAGAAGATGGTCTATGGTCTGTCATACTTTCAAGTTTTCTATGTAAATCTTCTTACAGTTTTATATATTGATAATTGTTACACAGCTATAATACTTATCTTAGCATTTGCCTCAGATTTTTTATATGTCAATATACGTATTGCATAATTTAGCATTAAACATTCATGCTAATTAATTATGTCACACACATACATGCAGTTACAAATAAATACGAACTATAGGGGAAAAGTCGACACAAGCGTGACATTTTATTCAAATGAAATAATATTTGTTTTTTTTTAATCATAAACTTTCAAACCAAAGCTTCATTAAATTTTTAGCTCTAAACAAGAATCAAATCCAATTAATGGCACATTCCAACGGCTCTTGAAATGAATATTATATAAATTTAATGGAAATATTTAGGGCAGAAATGGTCATCGTCGCTTCTCTTATTATATAGGAAAAACCAAGGAATTTATTAAGCAATTTCGTTTTAAGATGGATTAAAATATAACACGCAATAAATATCATGCAACACACATTCCATTAATGGAAAACAGCTAATTTCTTAATCGTTTAAAACAAATGACTAAAAAAGACACAAACAACGTATGTGAACACAATACGTATCATGGGAACAACACGGCACATTTTAGTGCTGCCAGCCATGAACTTGTTGGAGTGTAATTCCACGTTTCCTCTACACCCGCAAACCAACCGCAGGGAAGATTTAAATTGCGTCAGGTCTCCCAATTATCTGCGTGGCAAGGACGACCGTTTTATGAAACTGCTTAAGGGCTGTCACATTCAAAGATTTGACAAATTTCAAATTGTATGATTCTGATCGTTAATGTAATATTTTAGAACTAGGAAAAACGTATGGTATGTAAAGTGATATGCATGTCTGATAATTATGATTTGTCAATATAAGGATATGGCTACGTTTCACGTACACGGCTGCCTATCCCTGTTGAACAATTTTCAACAGTGATAGGCAGCCATATCCATAGGAATTTATGAAACATATATCAGAATACCATTGAATTATAAATAAAATAAAATTTGGTATAGCTTTATATCAAAATTTCATAAACTTAAACTTTACGATAGATTTATCAGTGATATCGGTCCTATTTTAAGGTAGCCAAAGTAAAGTAGTTTTAGAAAACATTGTAGCAGCCCTAAGCCTGACCCGCTGCGGTTGGTCAACTCGCTGCCGCCGGTTATACTTGGCCGTAAAAAAGTATTCCATACCCAGCCCTAACTCATTTTTTTTAAATTGAATTGCGAGGTTTAAAGTTAAAGATATCGTAACATTGACTAATATTGTAATGTCAATAACATGTAGTTTTATCGCTTATAGTTAATGTTGTACTAGCGACCCGCCCCGGCTTCGCACGGGTGCAATGCTGAATGTTTGCTTTCGACATCGCATTAGAAACCTCTAAAATTATCAGTGTTTCTCTACTATATTATGCATGAATTATACATAATAACTAAAGAAAACGCATTAAAATCCTTTGCGTACTTTTAAAGATCTAAGCATATATAGTGACAGACAGACAGCGGGACGACTTTGTTTTATACTATGTAGTGATAAATCAATGAAAATAAACGGCTGAATATAAGATAAATAAAAAGCGGTTTACAAACTTTATGTGTAATAAAACATGTATAAAATATGAAATTTAACACATCTTTTACATTTGACACTTCGTTAGTTTGTACGACTGAAAGCAAACGCTCGATCGTGAGTCAGCCGGAGGCACAAATTGGCGCCAATTTGAGATCGCGCCGCGTCACGGCTCAATTGAGGAATGTGTCACTTCACATTAGGTGTGCGAGTACGTGCAGCAAGTTGCGTGTCCTACAACAAGTGCGGCCGTGTGACAGTTAATCGAATTTAATTTAGAACTATTTCATTATAATGTTGTTTTTAATTATGTATACACCTTTCAAATTTCAATCATTAACGAACGCCGTGTACGATAATCAGCGAAACAAATGAGTAAACTTCGAAAATATTCAACGCTCGCAAAATTCAAAAAACTCGCGTGAGTTTTTGAATTTAACCAATTTCAGTTTGTAAATATTTTAACATGGCATTTTTAGCGTCACACACGGCGCATTTTTTCTTGCTAAGGGATGCCAAATGTGCCAAGCGTGTGTAAGTGGACACTCTTTTTACATCAGAGATGTTGTACGGGTGTTGACAACACTTTACGTCGGTCTTACTTCCCGGCCGACCTGGAATAAAGTGCAGTAGAAGCTTTTATAAGCTGTTACTACTGTACCATAGGCATACATATATTCAGTGCTTACGAAGCTAAGTCGTAAACGCGTTGAATTTTATGTAGGTATATTATTACGAAACTAGACACTACTGAGATAAGAACCTTTGCCATCAGAGGCAAAACGAACAGGCCCATCCAAAGACATACATATGTACGTATACATAGTAAGATTGGTTTTACTTAGTTTCAGATAAGAGTCTTAGTGCAGATAAAAAAACCACATTCAAGCTTTGACGTTTTTGAACTGGTTTTTTTATACTATGTTCACCGATTTCTCCCCCATTTGTTAGTAGGCAGACTTAGCCGATATACGCTGGATCCATGTAGCAGCTTCCACAGTAAATGGAACTCTGCCAGGAATTGCCATGGTGCTCTCAGAAGAGTGACGTAAAATATTTGTAAGAAATGAGAGCAAAAAAAAATTTGCGGTACACTTCTTGGGTTTCGAAATTCAAATACGAATGAAATAAAGAATAGAAGCAGACAGCATTGCTTTTTTTATCAACTTTTATATGCCTTTGAAAGTAGATTTTCTATCTGAAATAATATTTTTATTATAATTTATCTCTTGTGTTAACTAAAATTGTGATAACGGCTAAATATTGAACAAATTTGTTATCTTATTATGTTTAATGATTATAACTAAATTATCAATTACATTTTTACCATTTTGGCGCTACTTATTTATAGAGGAGGGGCTAAATATGTAATAAACTATTGACTGAATGACGAGAATGGTTTACATTAGTTTATTTTTGATAATGAAATAAAAAACAGAATTCCTCTTTTATCTGTTTACTGCAAGCACATAAGGCCAGTATTTATTCGCGTGTAACATTAAACCGGCCAAATGACAACACTAATCTTAACAGCAGGCAACATGGCAGGGTCATTAGTTGCGTCACAGATTGCCATATGGCAGATTAAGCGTTGCAGTATGTGCGCAGCTTTTTTTATTTATAATCTGTTATTTCATCCATAAGATGCTTACTGCTTCAGAATCTGTTAAATTTACTGTATACGTATTTAATACAAGTATTTAGCGATCCTCTTCGTGCCGGCCTCGCCTGCCCATTCGTGCAACTAGTATTGCACGAATGGGCAGGCTTATCCAGGGAGGTATCATGGCCTCACAGAAGGCCAACGTGAAGTAGAAATATATTTTGCGTTTTTGTCTGGTGGCTGAGGCGACCGGGGCCCACCATTTTAAAAATTTCCAACGCATTTGCATCCCCTTTGGTGTTGCTGATGTCCATTGGCTCCGGTAGGTAATAGGTATCTTAAAATTATGTGAAACGACTGTTCTTATAAAAGTTAAATAAAGAACATTTCCCTTTATTGTCAATAAACGATCCATGGTAAGCCTTTTTCCTTGTCGGTTTTTTTTCTTCGTTAGTCAATTACAAAATTTTGAATATATTTAACGGCCGGTTCCTATATTCTATATACAAACAGTACTGGAGATAGAATTTTGACGTAAGTATTATGGAGCTAATAGCAAACACCTGTCGCTCGTAACCAAATCTATCACAAATAGAATATTGAAACAGGCCGTTAAACGATATTTCCTGATTTATAACAGTTGTCACATATTTCTGACTTTTTGTGATTGTTCGTGAAAATTTTCCGTAGTGTCATTAATAACCAAATACTAATTAACACAATGTATTCATATATATATGAGTACTGCATGCACAATTACTGCATTTTCATGCATAATG